ACCAACAAATTGTTCTTGCACAATCTTCTACCAGCTGAGACTGATGATCCCTCCTAAACAGACAATCTAATTAAGACAGTCCATACACAGCTCAAGCTACTGTAATAGGTTGCACCGTATATGGGACTGTTTTGGAGGGCTTTTGGCAATTAGGAAACATACTGCTGTGTTCTGTATTAACTGGAAATATCTAACACATCTTGGTGGTTTTAAAACAGTGACAGTGATTGGCATTCTGTTTCTGACCACAATACAAATGACTTGTGATCAGGGTTGCTTTAAGAGCTGCTTTCTGATATATGAACCTGACCAGATGGTGAAGTTGCCAACTGAGGTTAGGCATGTAGTGACAAAACCATTTTAGTTCAATTGATTTCAATGTGTCTAAGTATGACTAAATCTGGAATCAGCCTTGTAAGTCACTCTGAGAACTTTGGTTGAAGAGCAACTGATAAACAACCAAAAATGATAAAATAACTCTCTATACTGATAGTGTACCACAGTGCAAATGCTTGTGGAAATGTCTGCCTGTGTTAACCTCTCCGCAAACATGAGGATTTCCTGCTTTTCAGGGAAGTTAAAGTTAATACACAGATGTAGTGTTCTTTGCTCCCCGTTGGAAATTCACTATTGAAATACCTCCCTCTGTAGACAGCAATCCTATTTAACAGATCAGAATTCTGAATATATCACCAGCTTTCCTTGTTTTGTAACAGAGTGATCCTGTACTAATCCAACAGCCAAGTGTCAGGTAGGGGAGGCAATCCTAAGTTTCTGACATATTTTTCATAGTGATGTGCCTAAGAGAACAATGCTGTCCTGATGGGAATTTCTAGCTGCTTTGTCTGAGGCTGTTCTGAATTTAAAATGGCAACCTACAAATACAAAAATCAGGAGATACATAAAAGAAACCCTTTCCCAATCAGGAGAGAGAGGTTTGTCAACTAGAGTTCCAAACAGTCTAGCAGAGCTCACACACACAAAAAACAGGAACTACAACCCCAGAAACATTCCACTGCACTGATAATTCTGTTTGTGCTTATGAGGTGTTTCTAACTATTTTAGCAAGATTTTTAGGTGACCTATTCTAGATCCAAGTAGTGAGTAGTGATTTTCCCCCTCCAAAGGAAAGATTAAAATTCTAATCTTCCTTCAGGGTAGAAAATAAAATCTATGCAATGAATACTGTGCCTTACTAAGATAAGTAAACTTAGTCTGCGGCTGTGATAAGCTAAAAGTATGGATGCACTTCCTGTAAAGTCAGGAATCAAATGAAAACACATCATCAACAGGACGAGAAGAAAAAACATAACAGTTGCAGAAAACTATAGCTCAAGTTATGAGTCACCAGTCCCAGACTCCCAGTGCTAACTTATGGCATATAACTCATGTAACATTCAGTCCCAGAATGAAAGCAAAGAAACAAGAACAGTAATTTTTTTACTGTTTAATGTTGTGTATGAACATGGGAGGAGCAAAAAGGGAAGAAGTTGTCTTGTATTTCCCAGTATGTACAAGGAAATTTGCAGTCAAGGTGCTGGAGTCCCTTCTAAAAAGTGTCATTTGATGACTGAATGTAAAAGGAAGAAAACTCAACTGCTCTCAATAGAACTGCTGGATATTTGTAGTGCCACACAGTAATGTGGGGTTTTATTGTACAGATAATTAATTTGGATACTGTGCTCCATTCTGTTTTTTTGTAAGACCATCCCAAGATATTGGTAGTGGATGGTCTATAAAAGTTTTAAATAAATATGTAATCAGAATTCCTGATCTCAACAACTTGATTCTATGGACTTCTACCCAACCATGTTATGCAGACAACATAATCCACACAAGGACTGAACATGGCTGTGGGTTACTTTGAACCACAGGCTATTATGAAGATGGTATTACATTTATCTCTCACTGTGAAGCTGGTTATGTTGAGCATTAATGATGGACCTAAAGTCACCCCATAAGTGAGAACTAGAACCCAAATTTCCAGAGTCCTAGTTCAACACTCTAACCACTATCCCACACACGCTCTTACTTGATTATGGGTCACTGCTGAAACATAGGTTGTCTGAACCTAGTCATGCTAACAAAGGATGATTTGTTAACCACAAACAACCCAAATTTCACAACCCCAAAACATATCATGGGTTTTCCTCATGAGTTGTGATGGTTAACAAACCATGGTTTGTTAGCTTTGCTGGATTCAGACAACATTATGGCCCCCATTTCAATAACTCACATATTCAGACCTTGTGAGGGGCTTATGATACTGTCTGAACCCTGCTGCAGAGTAGTAGTTACAAAGGAATATGCTCATGAAAATTGGAGATATATTTAAAGGCAGTTAACTAGTTTTTAAAAATGTACCAAAACTGGATCATCAGGTAAAGCAAAGCTCCTATAACATTTTTTTACTTTGCTACATATGCCCCAACTAAATGTTAATCAAAAAGAAAAATATGATCCACTTATTTTTCATAGGAAAAAGTAAATTATGTTAAAAAGTTTCATACAGTTATATGCTTTTTAATATCTCACTTGACAAGGTGTATGTACTGAAATGGCATAAGTCACTTCACAGTTTCGGCAAGGGGCGGCATAGAAATGTTATAATAATAATAATAATAATAATAATAATAATAATAATAATAGGTGCATATGGATGCCTTGAATTCCATGCTAGAGAAAAAGATGTGAGATATAAACATAGAAGTAACAATAATGACAACAATATGAGTATTTCTCCATAGAAAAACTCTGCAAACAGAAAACTAGATATGTTCTGTTGCAGACTAAGGTTCTCCTCAACATCCTCAAAATGTATGTTCATTTTTTTAATATGGAAGAGCATTCGGCCACCCTAACCAAAACATTAATTGTGAAAACAAAGTTTTTAGCATACTGTGTAGTTGCTGGCAGCATCTAGGGGACCACAGAATAAATGAGATTCCCTGATCTGAGCTCATGGTTTGGGAACTGTCCCACATCCCACACTGCCACTGCTTCTCTAAGATTAGGAACTCAGCCTTGAAGACAGGGTAATGGGGCCATTCTGAGGAACAAGGAGGTTGGATGCTATGAAAATAACTTGTATCCTAGCATCCCCAGTACCGCTCCCGCCCCGAGCACCTTAGCTGAAATGCAGAGTAGGAGGTGCAGGAAGGTGAAGGCTGCCTCCACTACTCCTCTTGCTCTGCAGTAGATACTTAGGTATAAGACTCTAAGTTCAGGGGCTTATGACAACTGAGGGCACAACCCAATACAAATGTACTCTGAAGAAATAAATTTCCATACAAGATGAATATCTACTAAAAACAGCTGGTTCTTCTGAAAGTTGGACTTTCTCCTGCACTGTGTACAAGGTTTTGAGTATGCATGCAAATATGTGTTTGTTCCAGACACACACTTTGGGAAGACAGTGTTTTCCAGTACAAGTATTAGTCTATATATAAAACTAGCATATGCCAAGAACCTTGCTAAGCTTACAAGGCGAAGTGCCTCAGCTTCTCCCAAACAAAAACACCTGGGCAGAAGAAAGTGAATCCCATGTTGACCTCTACACAATCACTTTCATCTCAACTGCCAAATGATCTCTAGCCTGTGAAAGCTTAGTACACAGTAAGTATGTGTCTTTAAGATGCCACAAGACTTTCTATAATCCTATACAGATGTTGGGCATAACAAGGTAAAAGCAGCACACATAAGAGGGACAGAGCCACATACGCCAAACCCTAAGTCCCTGTGCTGACCAGGTGATCTGTAGTGGGCTTCAACTCATGTATGCCTGAATGCAAGCAGTAGTCTCCAAGCAAAGGGTTCTACTCACATACAAGTAAACAGAAGTTGAAGCCAACCACTGACCTTCCCATTGAACACAAGGATTGCAGGGGATGGGACCAAGGCTTGAGGCAGGGCTAACATACAGAGCTCTGTCCCTTTCGCGCTGAAACTCTATTCAGGCCTAAATAAGGCTTTTGTTTTTGTGACAACAGACCTGCACAGCCAGTCCCTTGAGAAATCTCTATGAAAATGCTTGATCAAACCTAGTATTCTCTCAGGGAAAGACTGGGGTAGGGGGAGTCAGAATTGGGGAGGAGTGGCTTGGTGCGAAATTTTGCACTCCACCTAAAACTGTGAGACACTTAGTAAGGGACAAACACTGCAATATTTATTGTTACATTTATATCCCATCTTTCCTTGAAGCAGTTCAAGATAGTACAGTCATCCTCCATATTTAGCCTCACAACAATCCTGTGAGGTAGGATAGACTGAGAGACTGTGACTGGACCAAGGTATGAAGCCCAGTGAGCTTCATAGCTGGATGTCGATTTGAGTCCAGGTCTCCATTGCTAGTCCTACATTCTAAAGTAGCCTTTCCCACCCTGGTGCTTCATCGGGAGGGCATCAAGTTGGGAAAGACTCCTAAATTATCAATACACGGTACGTTGCATGCCTTTGCATACTGAGAAAAGCACATTCTGTCAACAGTGTCAGATTAGGGCTGGAATTTAGACCTCCATTCAACCCATGAAGCTGGCTGGGTGACCATGGTCCAGCTGCAAGTTCTCTATCTCTGCCTAACGTATCTCATAGAACTGACGTGCATAAAACAAATGAGAACGGTGCGTCCTACCCTGGGTTCCTTGGGAAAAGGGTGGGATACAAAGGAACCTAATTAACATTTAAACTGAGCCAAAATGTACAATAAGAGGACACTGAGCACGGTGCAGAGCCCGGGGCGTGGCTGAGACAACACATGCAGGGTCCTGGGAGGAGGAGGAGGAAACGAGTCCCGCTCATCCAAGCCGGGCCTGTCGTTCTGAAAAGGAAGTGAGGGCGATCGCCCTCCGTAGCACAGGCTCGGTCGCCCGCACACCCCACCCACCCGCCTGGGAGTCAGGCAAGCGGAAGTGTGCGCTCCCCCAGCCCGTCGTCTTTCTGGTGGGCCCCCGGCCGCCTCCCCGGCACGGAGCCCCAGCGACCTTCCCCCCGCCACTCTCTACCTCTCGAAGAGGTGCCGCACGACCAAGATGCCGGCCGCCAGAGGGAAGGCGGCCAGAACGTGGCTAGAGCGGTATCCGCTCTCGCCGTCGGGACCGTCTCGCTCCAAATCGGTCCAGGTCACGTTGGCCGGAAACCAGAAGCGCTCGCTCCAGAACCCGCTCCACAGCCAGGCGGCCGCTGCGACTACTACCGCCATCTTCCCCCCGCCTCTGCCCTGCCAGGCAGCCGCTGCCTCCGGCTGCCGTCGCGGCGAGGAAAAAGGAAAAGAAGAGCAGCGGGAGAAGGCGTGGCCTCGCAGACGCCCCGCCCATTTATCTGGAGGGAACGCCCCAAAATCGCTGTCGCCGCCGCAGTACCAAGAGAGCGTTAGGAGGAGTAAGGGCGCATGCGTGTTCCTATAAAAAAAAATATCTGCACGCGCACAGACGAGAGCAAAGGTCCGCGCTTGGTTACAGGGGGAAGGAAAGGGCGTGGAAAAAGAAGTTAAAGCACATTGTGTTTGGATGGGTGTCGAAGTCTTAGAGCTCGTTCTCTCACAGCTTGGTTTCTTGTTTTAAATGGGGGCGAGGGGGTGTGAAAGGGCATGACGATTTCTTAAACTGTAACGATTAGACCAAGTTGATTGCATCATTGCAGTTATTGACTACGAGTTAACCTGCAGAGTTCATTAGACATGTCGTTTTCGTTTACTCTTGAGGGACAAATGCTATTGTAACCGTATTTTTCAGGGCTTGCTTCTTGCTGATTTTTTCAGATTATACGGCATTCCGCTGTGCTGAGCCACACTTGTGCCGCCTGTAGAGGCTTGAACAGCAGCAGCGAGCGCCGCGTGGAACTCCCGTTCTTTGTGCTCGAAAGGACCGTGACCGGGCACCCTAGATAAGCCACATTCGTTCCGTAATGGAAACCATTTGAGTTGTTAAAAAACGGTAGTTCAGCTGCACAATCTAGAGGCCTCCTCTGATTTCTCTAAATTCTAGGTTTGAGTAAACATACCTCCGCATTACTAGGTATCCAAGCAGACGGATTAAACGGTTTAAACCTGACTGTGTCTGCTGGTGGAGCAAGCCTTAGCTCTTTATTGAAAGCAGGAGCGCTGCTTGCCCTTGCGGACTTCCCTATTTCCTCCAGATTCAGTTGCAGTCTTCACACAGCAGGGGGAAAGGGAATATGAATTTTCTCAGGAGCAATAGCTTACAGACGTCTTTATGCCAAGCAGTAAATAAGCATTTATCATAGAATCATAGACTAGTAGAGTTGGAAGGGCCCATGAAGGCCATCGAGTCCAACTCCCTGCTGTTGCAGGACACCGAGTTACACCATCCCACTCAGATGGCTGTCCAGTTTCGCCTTGAATGTCCCTAGTGAGGGAGCGCCCACCATCTCTCTAGGGAGCTGGGTCCACTGTCATATTGCTCTGACAGTGAGGAAGCTTTTCCTGATGTCCAGCCTGAATCTGGGTTGTCACAACTTGAATTGATTATTCTGTGTCCTACACTCTGGCATTAGCAAGACATTATATAAGACTTAATATAAGTATTTAGTCGTACTAAAAACACTTTCCTGTTATAACGCAAACTGTTCTGCAGCAATGTAGTCCTGACTGGGCAAGTAAGACCCATTGGTTTTACAAAGTCCAGTTTTTGGTGGAGAAAAAACACAGCTGCCAAAATATTTGCACTATCTCTGGAGGCATGTTCATAGGGATCGTCATGAGAGCCTGCACTTCAGGATTTACCACTAGGGGACCCTCTGTTCCCTTGTAAATTTCAGCATATGTTCACACAGGCAGAGCAGAAGGTTATCCTTTTCACCTATGGCCTCTGCAGGCCAGTACTCTCTTCTTCAAGCATATATCACAAGTCAAAGTCTAGGACAAATGCTAATACTTCATCCTATAATACAGAGTAGAAACAAACAAATTTCTCTCAGTTTTCAGCTAACCAAAAGCTATGTTTAAACATCACCAGCCAGACCTCAACATACTTAGCATGCATTAAGAGCAGTCACACTTGACTTTGTTCTGTGGATGGGTGGCTTTTGTAGTAATCACTTTTAAAAACTTCACTACCTTTGAGGGAATCCTACAAGCATCTTCTTGAGCTGCTGTAAATGTATGTGGCATCCAGTGTAATGATAGTAAAAGAAAAGTACAGGAGGCAAATTGTTTGACTGGTTCTTCTAGGCTAAAATGCAGTGTGGCAGTAATAATAAATGAGAGCCAGTGTGGTAAAGTGGTTACAATTGCAGGACTGGGACTCAGGTGACCCGGGTTCTAATCCCCATTTGGCCATGGAGCCAAACTGGATATCTCTGGGCCACTCAGACTCTCAGCCCAACCTACCTCACAGGGTTGTTGTTGCATTCTCCTCCTGCTCCTGAAGGCAGCAGCAGCAGAATGATGTAAGCCATTTTGAGTTTGTTATAAGAAAAAAGCAGGGTTAATAAATAATAATAGAAGTGCCTTATAAATTTATCAGGAACTTGGGGATGCCAGTGGGGGTGGGTTGGCAGTATAATATTTTGAAGAATTTGCATTATTTGAGTGACAGTTTGGCAAGACCAGTAATTGCGAGGACAAAGGGATATGAACTAAGTGGAGGACAGCATAGACAGTTTAGGAACCACATGAGGAATAGTTTATATTCAGATAGAATAATCATATGAAACTCCTTGGAGACCCTTTCATTTTGCAAACAATTATTTAGCAAGCACTTTTGCCATAATAAAAGATTGCACATGTACTACATACATGCAAGTTACCGTGTTTCCACTTATGTTGGCGTTACAGCAATTGCTTCTGGTCATGGTACAGATGAGCAGGGGAGGAAGGGAGAGAATGAATCTGCATGGGCAGCAATAAGTGTTGAACTGACCTGTTACTAGCAGTGTAATCCACCAGGGTTAGTGTAAACTTGTTCTCAGGGTTTTATGGAAGCCTTCAGTAACTGGAATAGGAATCAGAATAACCTCTTGGACTCTGGAGCAAGGTGTTTTATAGATAACCAATTGGCCTAGCACAGAAGAGAGTGTTTTGTAAGTGCTTTTTATGCCCATTGCTTCAGAATTTTATTTATTTAAAATTTTCTATTTTGTAGTATATGAGAGAAACTAAACATTTCCGAATGAAAATTAATCACTGCATATCTCTGCTAGCCTTCCTATGTTAGCTGAAGTGCTACTTAAACTGAAAGTTCAGAGTAAACAGAATTTTGTATGCATAATTCTTTGACATTTCTCAAGTACTTGGCATTTGCATCACATTCCAAAATTAATTCTCTCTTTCACCATCTGGGAGGAAGTAACTTATTATCCACGCTTTTAGAATACAAGACATTTTCCTTATTTCTTCTCAAACACTTTTGGCAGTGGAGCTTTCACTCCCAGATGATGGGGCTCAGTTTGGTAGAATAATCTTTCTAATCCATAGGAAACACACCTCAACTGTTACCATTAGATATCCAGATGGATTTTGAACTTTAACAAAGGACTGTCATCAAGGTTCAACCACTCTTAAGTATAGCAGAAGGATAATTCCTAGGTGAAGCTTTTAGCTCACAACCTTTCACCTGTAGATAATCATCCAGCAAGATAACAAGAGCTAAGGACACTTATGTAACCTGAGCATAGTTATTTGCTTATATCTGTTGGCTTGTTTCTTTCTCACAAAAGCAAGCTAATCCTCAGGAGACACCATTCTAGTGAGACATTTTATCAACCAGTTTAAGTTCTTTAGACAAGCAGCGTGTGATTCAGAGAAAATGTATGCAAAGGCTTTAAAGGATCTCACTAAGACTGCACTGGAAACTAAAATCGCTATATAGCAAGCACAGCAGCGCCACCTATTGACTTAAGATAGAGCTTTTCGATAGATTCTCACAATCCCAGCCATCTCGTGGCAAAGAAAAGTCTCTATTAGAGGCATTCAACAATAAAAATGACAGAGCCTTTATTGAATAAAAATGTTTCATACTTAGCAAGATTGGTAAGAAAGCAGAATATTTTACAACTCTAAATATAGTTAGAGCTAATTTAAGTGAACACATTACAAAAAGATTAAAAATGGTTAAAGTAAATTCTTTGTCCAGCTCAGAATACTATGATTTATAAAATACATAAGTCAAGTTGAAAAGCACTAAAAACACAATACTAGAAATCAATCCCAAGAAATCCTGACTGTTTTGTCTATTTATCATGATGTAGAGTTTTGCATGCAGCATTTTTTATGACAACTCTTAAATCTTGAAGTTGTGTATATGTAAAGTTTCAGAACATACATTGCTTGCAGAAGAGGAGAATTGACATTTCAAGTAAGAAAGTTTACGTAGGAAGAAAAATGTGAAATTTAAGTAGTGATGCATTACAGACAGAAGCTTTGCCCTCTCTACACAGTCTTTCGCTGAGCAGTACTCTTAGAAATAAAGATGCCACACTTCTAGGCAGGAATGAGAAAGATGGCCAACCAGCAGATTTTGATTTACCTGGGTCCCAATGTATAAATGATGTATGAAAAACAAACAAATGAAAAAAGCAAAGTGCAAAGAAGGTTCTTTTCTGATTGCTGCAAATAAAAATAGTTTTTCCCTAAATTATGTCACTGACTGCATATTTAAGATAGTTATTCTTGGACACCTATCTAGAAGACAGTGTTTTCACTATTCTTTTTTAAAGTATATTTTGTGCCTTTACACAATTGTTAAAGTGCAGCCACCATTTAAAGTGGTTCCCAAACCCCTTGGAACTGGTCCCTAAGCACTGCAGTAGTGGTGTGAATGGTAATAGCAATGTATCTCAAGAGCCGTTTTCTTTCAGTTCAGCTTTGGGGAGTACAGTGACATCCTGCAAAAACAGCTGTATTACCAAAACCAGAAGAGCATAAGAGGCCATTTAAATGGCCAAGTTACAAAGAATTCAAGAGTGTAGTTTTACATCATTGAAGCAGCAGCTATTCCCACAACAAATGTTTGCTCAGTCTTCATAAAATCAATTATATTCTGGCAGGCTTTCAATGAACTTTCCTATAAAATGCAAATCTGAGCAAGTTTTTATGGTTCCCTTATGCATTAATCTGCAATACGGTATCACTTTCATAAAGCTGCTTTAAAGGGAGGGGAGAATGCAAAAACACACCAATTTAAGGCCCAGCACCCTGCAGTAAGTTCTCTAGTGGGAAACATATTGCTTTTTAGTCATCATCTTCATCATAGTATCTGTTGCGCTTGATCTGCTCTTCCACAGTCAGATCTTCTAGGTCTTCCCCTTCAAAAAACCCTATATCTTGGGATTTATGACTTGGGCTAGCAGATGGTTCTTTTGCAGTTGTCACATTCAAGGCAAGATGTTTAGGAGAAAGAGAGAATGATGCCTCTTTCTCTGGAGATGCAGGCTTTCCTGTAGCATCTTCCTCTTCATCAGTGTCAGCACACTTCTGGCCATTTTCAGCTAGGCTCTCCTGGACTCTTTCTCCCTTTTCCTGGTACAGCTCCTCCTCCTCAGTAGTGTTAGGAGTACCACCATGCTCAGCTACATTGCTTTCTTCCACTGGCTTGTTTTCCATCACCATTTCCTTCTTGGGTTCCTCAGTTTTCTGGACCATACTCCTCTTAGCTTTGGGAGGTGAGGTGTTCTCAGTTCTATGGCTCTTAACAGAGACTGTTCTAAATGAAGCAGCTACTGTAAATGGCCGACTTCTTTCCTTAAGTGAAGATGTCCTTCGTAGCTTTTTAAGGTCTTGGTCCACATCTTCTGGATGATCTGGCTTTGGGACCTCATCTTCTGGGGGCCACTTCGGCTTCAACACTTTGATACCTTCTTCTAAGCTACTTCCTTGGCTACCATGATCCAGAGGTGGTGGCCAGGCAATCTTCAGCTTCTTTGTTTCTGTAGGCCTCTCTTCCTTCTCAAGCACACCAGCAGCTTTGGCTTCCATGCTAGCTGCCAGAATCCCAACTTTTGCAATTGGAGCATCTTCCACCCCAGGGCTTGAAGGACCTTCTGATGCATTTCCAATATATGCAGGTTTCTCCTGGGATTCTTCATTCTCAGTTTTGCTTACCCATAGTTCTTTGTGTGGCTTATGCCCAAAGCCTTCATCATAGTTGCCTTTTGATTTAAAGAGCTGGTTAAAGTGAGGCTTGCAGTAAACATTACCATGCAGGGATGCATATGTTCCAAGTCTATACAAGGAAAGAAACACATAAGCTATCATTAGCAGATGGAGTAACTTGTAAGCAAGCATTAATTCCCTCAAAACATGTATCCAAAACCGGTGAAATGCATTGCATCCACACCACCCTGTAAGATTTTCTGAGCTAGAGTACAAGAGGTAGCAATTGCATGGACAATTATTCCAAAATACATCTGCAACATTCCACTTACAAGAGTTGCTCTTAAATATTGTACTAGCCTGTTTTGAATCATTAATTTAATCAAACTGCTACAGACTCTCCAATAAAGGACAACTATTATCAGAATGTTGAAACCCTTTTGCTACCTGAAGAGCCGCATTGGAGTTGTCTAGATTGCCTGTTCCTAGATTGCCAGGACAGGCAGCAGAGGCAGAGTCACACCTGATAATTAGCTGCTCAGGGTCATCTCTCTACTGTTGCCTGGCTGCCCAAAGAAAGCAGCCTATTGACTCAGATAACGTTGTGATGTGAACATGCTGGCAGCCAGGCTGCCTGGTGGCTGGATAGGCAGCTGCTGCCAAGATGACTATTACTGTTACCCTCACCACCTGCTGCTCCCCCACTTCACAAGCCACTCCAACTTCCTTGTCATACAGCCCAGGGCAAGTCTGAGATGGGGGCTTTCTTCCTGGGGACAGATAAACAACAGCAACCTGTGGAGCCCCTTATTCATCTGACTGGGAGACAGCAGTCTGGAGAGCCTTCTGTCCTTTGCTCAAACCAATCATTCCATCGTGCTGCTGAGCCACCGTAAAGGTGGCCATATTGGATCAATCCAGAGGACCTACTTGCCCCGTTTCCCAAGCATGACCGATCAGATGTCTCTGAGAAGTCCACAAAGCAGGCAAGAACCTTCCTTATTTGCCCCAGCATCTGGCATTCAGAGCTGCCTCAAGACTGGCAGTTTCCACTTACCTCTGTCAACACTTATTAGCCATGGCCCCTATCCACAATTCTCTCTGATCCCACTTCTTTAAAAAAATTTCCAGTCAGTGGACATCACCACTTAGTATACTAATGTCTTCTGCAAACTAAAAGTTTATGTTATGTCACATGTGGGCAAGGTATGACCCTCCACACTTGGTTGGACTGCAACTCCCATCAGTCCTAGCCAACATGATCAATTGTGGGTGGGATCAGGAAGCTTCTGAGTAGCCCTTTGTTATGTGAAGTGTGCACTCCCTTTTCCTACCATTCCTGGAGTTCCTACCATAATTTAACTATTTGCTGTTTACTGTGGTGCATGTGTGGCTGTATCCTGTGTAGTAGATTCCACTGGAGCTCCTCCTGGGCAACCGAATAGTAGCTAGTTCATATTTCTCAGCACCAGAAACAACCCACATTAGATCACTGACTGTATAGCAACCTATATTTCTTTTCAGAACAACGGAGCTATACTGAAGACTCTTAGACTTACGTGAGTTTGCTGTTGCAGTAAGAACAGCGGAAACAGCTGATATGGTATACTTGCTGGTTGGCGAAGAGACGTTCCATTGGGTATACAGTCTTCTTGCAAGCAACACATGTTTCCTTTGCTGGCAACTGGAACTTCTAATGGAAGAAAAGTGACTGAGTTAGAGCAGTATTTTTCTTTTGGTAGCCGTGACAATCAATGACAAGCTAACACACCATGGACTATTTAACTTAGAAGCAACAATCTCTTTCCTTAACTTCTTTTCTTCCTCTATCCATACCTGCCAAATCCCATGTTCTCAAAAGGCCAAGTTAATCAAACAGGCAACAAAATCCCCCTCCTTCATGAGTACACCATCTGCAAAAATTTAGGGAGGTAGCCCTCAAGTAAAGATAACCCTTTGTGCAACTGTGGAACTGGCAAAAGGCTGGGTGTTTAAACCTAATGTGACAATTTATACTCATCTTCAAAATCTCTAAGGAGGGCCAGCAGATTGTAAGGAGGGGGGATGTAAAAGGGAGACAAAGGTCAAGCTCAGCAGAAGCAATCGGAAGTCTGGCGGAATGAAGACAGTCTTCACACTTCATCACAAATTCTTCAGCGTCAGAGCACACATGGTGGGACATGCCCACCAGAAAACAGAACGCTAACTCAGACACTGATTGCGTCTTGCACCACCACACATATTCCTTGTGCTTCAGGTAGGCTGTCCTCATCTTTCAGAGCCACATGAACAGTCCCGTGTTTCCATTTGTTCATCAGACTATTTACAAAAAGATTCTGTTTTTTAAAGTGCAGAGCTGTGCCAGGGGTTTCAAGGGAGCCAACCAAACAGCACAGTACAGGGCTGGTTCTGCTTCCAAGTCGACAGAACCTAGCCTGCCACCCTTCTCCAGAAGTGGACCCTGGAGGGGAAAGTCACATGTGGACTGAATACGCTGAGGATGTTAGATAGGTCTTCAAGCACAAAATGTATGAGAGTGGACACACCATTCAGGGTCTCAACAAGCAAGCATAGCTAGTAAGGGAAACTGGTCCCTTGACCACCGAAAGGATAATGCTTAAGCCATTGAGATTCATTTCTTTGTTTAAAAGAAATGGCAAAGGGCCTTTTCTGCTGCTGCTCCCCATCTTTAGAACCCCCTCCCTAGAGAAATTCACCTGGCGCTGCCTTTATTTTCCTTTTGGTGCCAGGTGAAGACATGCCTTTTAGGATTTTTTAAAACACTTAGCCTGAATGATGTGGCCCTTTTTATATCACGTTCATAGATGTTTTAATTGGTTTTAATGTGTTTTATTTTCTTAATGTGTTTTATATATTGTAAGCCACCTAGGAAGGCCTCAGCAGTTATAGGTGGCCTATAAATACATGTATAAAGAAAGAAAAAGTATTTCTAAACAGCTTATTACTACATCACACCTAAATGATATAGTATAGAAAATATAAAACAAAAGCAAAATTACAAATTCAGCCTTCAAATCAGGAATTAATAGTTAATTAACTGCCTTTCATAAAATGGTGCTTATGTTGAAAGAGCTTCAATGTCTTGGAGCCAGTGCTTTAAGAAGACAGTCAATTATTTAATATATATTATAAAATCTCATAGGTAAAGCAATTTAATATACACTGTGCTTCACAACTAGAATATGGGGCCCATGCTAAAGAAATAAATATTGGACAACAGAAGGAGCAGAATGATTGTGCTTCCAGAGGGGTATGCTTTCTAAATTCACAGTGGCCTCGCAATACTGTCAGTTAAGGCAGCAGAATACTGCTTGTCCAGGCACACACAAATAATGGTTCTTTCCTTTTAAAATGAAAAAAGATTCATAAATATTATCCTCTTATTTCATGCTGACAATCAATAAAGTTTCCACATAACAGGATTATTTAAGTACTTGCAAAATAGGCCCCTCTAACAACAGAAAGAATCCAGGTAATATACTGGCTTGGCTGCCAAAAACTGGTTTCCCATCTCATCTGGGCGCTCAGCACTTGCAATGCATGAAAATAGCTGCAGCAATGAATATCCAACATTCAACTTACATGAGCATATAGAGAAGGGGTTGGGGGTTGTGTAGAAATATGTTCCTTTCCAAGCATGCTATGAATAGCAACTACAGTATAAGGGTGAAGGGTGAAGTCCAGTTAATAAAAAGGAGGACAACAAGCAAGAAAGCTGAGAGTTGAGCTCACATTAAAAGGGAGGCAGAAGGCAGGAGTAGAGATTAGGAACCAGGAACAGGAAACAGAAGCTGGAAAAGACAAATGACTATTTATAAATATATACCGGGCTGGTTTGAAAGTGTACTAAGAAGTTCCTTGGATGAAAACCATTCTATATTTGCATTAACCCAATAAAAACAGACTCAGTTGACAAATTGCATAGAATCAAGGAGAGAACAGTGTTTCTTAAAGTTTAACCAATTGTAACAAAAACCACAGGTTCATTCTCAATGAAACTAGAAACTTTTAACTATATTTGAGTTTTGTGCTCTTTTTTAAAAAATGGATTAAGGAAAACAGAAGGCTTACCTATTATAAGTTTTATGTTAAGTTAAAGGCAGAACTGAAAGCAAACTTCAACTGTGGTGGGAGTTGCAATCCATCTTTTCAACTTCACTTCCTCCTTAACTATATCACTTTGCTGTCTCCACCTCACTCTCCCCTTACCAACTAGCCTAAGAACCCTTATTTTTTTTTAATACAGTTAATATCCACTCCAACCAGCAAGAAAGCTTGGTTACTGGTGTATCAGCTGCTATATCCATTCAAAACGTGCCTGCAATACCCAAGGACCCATAATGAATTTAAGTACAAGCAGGTGTGCCAGCAGGCAGCAGGCCAGCATAGATAAGTACATAAAACTTTTAAGAGTCAGCACTTAGGCATCAATCTTTTTTAAAATAAAAACTTTGTGCAGAATGTGCTGAAGAAGAAATGGCATATTAATGAAGACATAGGAAAGAATGGACTTAATATCTAGAGTAAAATAACTAGATAAAGTTATTTAGATTGAATACTGATTCCTTTGCTGTGGGTTTTGAACTGTATCATATTTTAGTCTTTAACATATTTTATTGCATTTTATATTTATAACAATCTTATGGCATTTTAGTTTTTTTAACTGCAATCTGTCCAGAGAACAGTATTAGGTAGGCTAGAAAGTGAGAAATAATAGTGAACCAGTGCAAACATGACAATCCAGAATGAGACTGATTCATCCATTCCCTAATGGGTTTCAAGACTTCAGCTTTGTCTTTTCTTCTCCCCACCCTATTCAGTAATGTAAATATGCATATTTACATTTATTTTTATATCTACATACTTAAGCTGCCTATTTTTGTATTTCTGTTATTTAGTTTTAAAAATGAACAATGCACTGAGAGCCAGTGTGGAGTGGTGGTTAGAGAGTTGGACTGAGGACCAGGGAGGTCCAGGTTTTAGTGCCCAGTTGGCCATGAAGCTCAAGGAGTGACTTTGGACCAGGCACTCACTCCCAACCTAACCTACTCTACAGGGTTGTTATGAGGATAAAAAAATGGAGCTATGCAAGCCATCTTTTGTTCCTCACAAAGGGAAAAAAAAGAATATAAACACAATATAGCTGCAGCAGCCATGGAAAGATTCCGTCTACCAACTTTACCAACACCAGCCTCTTCCAAAGTCATTCCTGCCAGGGTATGTTCAGCTCTAAGCCCTTCATAGAAGCATTACACATAATGTTTTGATTTATTCCCTTAAATTTCCACAGGCAAAGTCAGAGAATAAAAGGCAAGTTGTAACTATTGTACTGCCCATTGGCTATCAACTAAGAAAAAATGATCCACTGTACCTTCACTGTTTTCGGAGGAGAAGTGTCAGTCTGGCTAGGCAATCTAGAATCAGGGCTCTGCTGCTTGGCGTAGACAGACCTCAGGACTTCAGTCTCTTTCTGGGCATTTAATCCAACTAAAATCGGGGAAGAAGCCTTGTTAGCATTTCTCATTTCAGGCTCAGTTCACTTCCTGGATTAAGGAAGTTTCAATTAAATTAGTAAATGCTGCACCAATTATTATAACATCCCAGAAGATGCAAACATTACAAATAAGAACAGCAGCTACTTCAGATGGAGCACTTTTGTACTACCATCAAGAGGGATGCCTTAGACAAAATAACTGCTTAATTAAAAGGGCTGAAGAAACTGTACTTCAGAAACTATAGTTTCAAAAGAAAGAGTAGCTATTTATTACTATTATTATTAATACAATTTATTTAATTTCTATACCGCCCAACAGCCAAAACTGAGTGGCTCACAAAGCACATTAAAAAACGAATAAAAGATACTGCATTTAAAAATAGTAAACCATCATTAAAAGTATACAACATTTAAAACCACTTATTTAGTTAACCCAGACACCAGTAATTCCTCCCTGGACTGGGGCAGGAGAGATTAAGCACTTACTGCTGCTGTTTTCATAAAGATTGGAATTCAAGCCATCTATTATGGAAACCTGTAAGAGAAACAGTAACTATCATCAGCCTTTCATAGCAAATTTCTAAACAACTGGACTTGCTTGCTTAACATTGTATTACTTTGCTGTAAAAATATAAAAAACAAATGGATTCAAACAAGAAGCAACCAAGATAGACACATGTTGTGTAAAGCACAAAGCATAATGTGATGATCAAATGCTAAAAACACAGCAGCCTTGCTACAGCAAAGACATAGCTCTTTGTTGCCAAAATCATTTCTATTTCTCCTTTCCTTCTTCATCAGGTAAGGCTGTGCATGTACTAAATCTGTGCCTGGATGCAAGCCTAAGAGACTGAAGCTAAAAGCAGACAAGCCTGAGATGCTGTTAAGTGAGGGTGCTCAGCAATCCTGCCTGCATAGCTATCCATGGACTTAGCAAGTTGAATCAACTTGGCTAAACTAGAAAGGTGCAGGTCTGTACTTGGATGGGTGACCATGTGCAGCCTCCTGCTCTGCTTCCACTTGATGGCCTTGTAGGCCCCTTCCAACTCTACTTCTATTCTGTTATTGGATTAATTGCCTGCCCATGAAGAAACAGGTTGGGGATCCTTTTGGAGCCATCTTTGTCACTAGAAGCCCAGATAGTCTCAGTGGCATAGAGTGTCTTCTACCACCTTTGGCTTGTGGCTCAACTATATTCCTGTCTCGACAGGGATAACCTGGGTTCAATAATCTATGTTTTGGTAACATCCAAGTTAGATTACTGCAATGCATTCTAGGTGAGGCTGCCCTTGAGTACTGTTCAGAAGCCAAAGCTTGTACAAAATGCAGTAGCCAAATTAATAACTGGGATGGGAAGGTCCAAACATAAGACTAACTGTGGCACACCTGTACTGGCACTAGCCCAGTCAAGGAGCTGGTTTTAATTTATACAGCTTTACACAGCTTGTGACTACAATACCTGATAGAATACCTCTCCCAACTGAATCTATCAGACTCCGTGATCAACATCTGAGACCTTCCTTCCAAGTGCCACTTCCAAGAAAGGCAACAAAAGGATCTTCTCAGAAGTGGCCCCCAATTATGGAATGATCTCCCCACTGAAGCCCACTTAGCACCAAGATTGTCATCTTTTCAGTGCCTGAGAAAGGCTGCTCTCTACTTTTAATTACGTATTATGAGACTTGTCAGCTATTTTAACAGGCCTAGTTTTTATTGAAATAAGTTATTTAAATTGCTTTAAATTGTGCCTATTGAAGTTTTAAGCTGCATTTATAATACTGAACTTTATTTTTATCTATTTGTATTATTTGAATAATAAAAATTATTATTCAAATTAAATAATAATTAAAAATAATTAAAATTAAAAATTATTTTTATTATTTGAATAATAAAAATTGCTGTGAAATGTCCATAGAGCTTCAGTGATAGGGCAAAATAGCAATGAAATAAAAATAGTCATCTTCCTGTTTGGTATTTTCCAAGATTTACAATGAAGTGCTTCATTTTCTCTCTTTAAAAGATAGCTTATTAGAACTGCTGTCTATTTATCAACAGCGCAATTGTATTGTCCCTGTTCCCCCACCAATAAACTATGGTGTTGATTGTCCACAACTACAATTGCTGCTAAGACACAGCAATAGCTTCCTTAAAAGCCTACCACTGGTATGTAAGGAGCATACAATTAATTGCTCCCTCAAAAAGTTAACTCTATGAACAAACTCCCAGATGGCTGCCCATAACACTGCCAGAATAAGTATCCATTTCCATGTACCACTCATTGTTATTTTTAGCTGTTTTTTTTTTTTTAACTGATCTGGCACTTTATCCTGTTCACACTTGGAATGCCAGCTAAAAGGTTGTGGGACTCCTTCATGCAAAGAAAGCAGATGGGAATGTTCTTCTACTGGCATAGAACTGTACAGTCTATATGGACTCTTCCAAGTAGGGCTAAGCCCCTCTTCCGGGGGAATCCTCCATTCGGCAATAGCCTTTGTTACAGCAGGGTTTTGCTCTGTCTTTTTAAAAGTGTAGGTTTGTATTCAGGGGCAATTATAGAGGAAACCTTGCCAGATTCAGAATACAGGAGTGTCGTTTCCTCCCCTGGGATGACTACTCTATTAAATAAAATACAGCTTAAGACTGCTCACACTAAGGAACTAATACACCATAATAAGCTTAACAGCAACATCTTGCTCATTTATCCTGGAAGCCCCATTCCAAGCAACCAAACTGTGCAAATTAATAAGGAAGCACATAAGCTGGGATAACACACAGTGCTCATTTGAGCCATTTCGGGAGGAGTGCTTTGCAAGCGTTCCACAGCACGTTCTACAGCATCAGAGAGCATTCGAAGCAAAATGCACTCATGTCCCAAGCCCTCGGTGCAACATGAAGAATGCAGTGCTTTCAGCATGCAAATTAAGGGATGTGCAGACACACATATTTCTGAGTTTATTAAACATTTCTGCCCGTCTCCTGTATCCGGCTAGGATGTTCTACGCGAATGTTTCCAGAGACAGGTGCTGCCACATTCCACACGCATGCACACACGCTCGCGCACACACACAACTCCATTCTGTCCAAGTGCCTTGCATGAGCTCATCATACGCGTCAAGTAAGTGCTTTGTCACCATAGGGAAGAAAGCCACAAGAATGCCTATAAACTCAGTTATTCACTCTTTCAAATCAGCAGGAAGAGGCCTTTTATTCAAGCCATCCATTTAACTGTAGGAAAAAGGGAACAAAAAAAGGAAATTACTTCTGAGTCCAATGTGTTTGACTTTCAAGCTCACCTTGTAAAAGGGAAGTATCTCCCAACAAATTGTGGAACAGTTTCCTGCACATGCAGCCATCTGCCCAGGGAAGTCTGAGAAGCTCTCCTGAAGTTAGACTGCTGCATGTGCATCACCCCCAAGTTAATAGAATTTGAGAAATGCACACACGTGCATTTCCCTGCAACAATTCACTAGTTTGATTCATAAGCAAAGATGCACTAGGACTGGACCTCACCATTCAAGGTAAGAAATAGCCACAGGTGGTTTCACTTTTCAAATGACACTGAAAGCAGGGACAAGAGTATAGGGTTGGGCAAGGATTTAACGCAGGGCCAAAAAGCCCCTGAATTTGTTATTGGAACTTCTGCTGCTTCCTGTGGCAGAATTTTGTTTTAAGTGTTAGTAGGGTATAATCTCACACACAACCCTCTAAGCAGACTGGAGAGTGGCTCTAGGGCAGCAGTGGCGGACCTATGGCACGCGTGCCACAGCGGGCACACAGAGCCCTCTCTGTTGGGATGCGAGCCAAGTCGCCCCAGTATCGCCCCAGCAGCCGAGCACTGGATAACAGCACACACAGGGGCCATGTGTATGCTCGGAAAGGAGTAGCGGCATCAGGCGATGGCGTCACAAGCTATGACTCATTAGCAGCGACTCACCCGAGCTTTCCCACGGCCGGTCAGTGAACTGCCAAGGAGAGATATTTATTTGCTTGCTTCCTTGCTTGGACTGGCTGTGAGTTGTTTTTTCTAAACTAAACCAGTTTTCAGGGGTTTTTTTTGCAGTGTTGGCACTTTGTGATAAATAAATGTGTTTTGGGTTGCAGTTTGGCACTCGGTCTCTAAAAGGTTCATCATCACTGCCCTAGGGCCTAAAGGAACTTCAAACTAAATGAAGAAGTTGTCACTATATAGATAGCTCGATGGAGAAGCCACAGTCTTGAAGGCAGACTGCTTGAATCCCAATGGGATTTCAGCAACCCAGGTGTGTACAAGACTGTAGCAATGCTGTTTTACTCACAGCTACGTCTGCCCAGGAAGCCTGAGGCAGTACACTAATTTAGGAAAGGCTGCATGACACACAGGGCTCTATATGCCAACAAAGAGGACCAGCTGATGGGAGGATCAGGCCAGGATGCTATCCTCCAGCCTCTGCTGCTCAAGACAGTCACTTTACCCTGCCTAATGGTGAAGATCAGCCCTATACTCAGGTGTGGCAGCATCTAGTCATTTCAGACAGTGCTTTCCCCAGTCTTTTTCCAGCTAAGGATATACACTTTCAACAGAAGTCCTGTTAGGGAAGAGTTTAAAACAGGGCAGCGGGAAAGGGGAAGAAAAGATAAGTTGTATAGCATCCAGTGACTTGCCCAAAGGTAGTAAAAGGACACAATCTACCACAAACATCTCCTGTACCAAGAAGCCCCATTGCAACAAATAAGCACCATACAGGAAAAGATACCCATTCCCCCTTCCCATCACCACCACCTCTAGTGGGTTCTGCACAGGAAAAGTTGTTTGTGAATCATGCCTCAAGCAAACCAATTGACAGGGATAGGACTACACAATTCTCTAATCCAGAGGAATAATACTTGAATACAACTTCAGACTGAAAATAAAGCCAGAACAGAAGTAACCTAACTACCACATTATGACCAAAAAAGAGGGAGTTTTTGCTAAAATGAGCAAGCACATGAATTCTGATAAACTCGCTTCACAGTTAAACATTTAAATTTAGTTCCATTTTCCATGACCTTATGGTTAGACCCTTAGCACAGCCTGCAACCAATCTGCATCAGTAGATACGACTCCATTTCCCGATGCTGTGGTTTTATAGTGTTTTGGATGTGCCTCTTGAAGCAGTTCCACTCCAAATGAAGCTGTTTTGATCTTCAGCCAACATGGCCATCTCTTACCTTCTCCCCATCCTGCTGGGGAAACACATCTTCAAAGCTTGGTGGCAAGTTCTCCTTCTGTTCACCAGAGCAGTTCTTATCTTCACTTTCGCTGACTTGAATCTCACTCTATAGGATGACAAAGCACTCAAGCATTTGTACACTTCAGTCCTTGGGAGAAAGGATTGCCTGAGTCTCTTTGAGAAACTCATATAAACAGATTTCCACATGGAAATAGAAGGTGGCACTGAAGACAGGAGAACTGTGTGTTAAACATACATACACACAAGCCCCTTTGAAACCACACTATATCCACAACCAGAATACATATCTCCTATATTTATTGCAAGCAATTTGCCTATCAATCTTCCATCATATCCTCAAGATGGTTTACAAAAAGAATAGAACAATTAAAATTATTATTATAGAAGCCACAAAAATCCTAAAAACAGCGTATCAACTGCCAGCTGGATTAAATTCCTCTAAAAAGCTCAGGAAGACAAAAATGGTTTTGCCCTAACTGGAAATGTCAATGAGGCAGAACTGTCTGGGGAACACCAAACAGCCCTTTCTTTGGTAGCACACAGATCATCTAAAGTAGCATTAAGAGCATAAAAGTAATGGAAGAAGCCTTGCTGCAGGAAGAGGAGCCCCATTTGTGCTGGATAAAAGAGAGGGAGCTCTCCAGGCGAAAGCTACTCTGCTGACCGAGGCAGCCAGAAATTGCCCTGAATTTAAAAGAAGGGTCTATGGCTCAGTGGCAGAACATGCAGTTTGCATGCAGAAGGTCCCAGGTTCAATCCCCAGTATCTCTAGGTAGGGCTGGAAAAAGCCCTGAAACCCAGGAAAGCCATCGCTGCCAGCCAGTGCCAACAATACTGTGTTAGATGGACCAAGGGGTTGGCTCAGTGGGTGGGTTCACACATCTTAAGAACCTACCTTGGCAATAAGCAGGTGGGTTGGTTGTTCTGTGAAGAATCCATGGTGCACCCAAGAAATGGTCCTTAGCTCACCATAGGTTGTTCACTTGCTCCTTCCGCTTCAGTCCTCCAGGAGGTACATCTCATGGAACTCTACAGCATGATGAGGTCTCTCCCTGCTCATTATGACTGAGACCTATCTGGCTCCTTGAAGATTTTTTTTTTAATTTTAAATTTTCCTTTTCCAGAAATCACAAAAGCTTGGTTTTGCAATCCCAGTTTTGACAGGTGCTGACAGCACCTTCGTGGGTGAGAGCTCCAGCGTGGTGAGAGCTGTGCCGCTCAGGGGGCGGAGCGTGGAGGAGGAGTCACCGCGGGCTTTAACTTGCTGGCCGGGACCGAGCCGGCACCGCAGAAGGGACGGACGGACTGCCCACCCTCGCCACCCGGAAGACCACCGCCGGGACGCTGCCGGCCTGCGGCCCCACCACCTTGACAGCGAGTGCTCCACGGGCCCTGCTCCTGCCCCCCCTCCGGCATGGGTGAGAGCTGCGCCACTCAGGGGGTGGGGTGCGGAGGAGGTGCCACCGCGGACTTTAACTTGCTGACCGGGGCCGGTGGCCTTGGGCCGGCGGCTGAAGGGCGTTGGCCTAAGGGCGGTGACGCCGTTTAGGGGCTGGGCTGGGCAGGAACTCTGTGGGTCGGCTTCCTTAATCTGCTGTTGGGGGGTGGCAAGGTTTTATTGTTTTTAATTGTTTTTATCTGGTTTTATTTTATCTGTTTTTAACGGATTCACGCTTGGCTGCTTCTATGGGGTTGCCTGGGGAGCGTGTGGGCGCCACCATTGGGGTGGTTATGGGCAATGGGCGTTATGGCATTGGGGGTTTAATGGGTCCGCTAAAGAAGGAGGGGCTGATGGTTGACACTGGTGGCCAACATCCCGTTTTTGGGCAAGGTGCTGCAGCGGGTGGTGGCGGGACAACTCCAAGCTCTCTTGGATGAGACTGATTATCTGGATCCATTTCAGTCCGGCTTCAGACCTGGTTATGGTACTGAATCTGCCTTGGTCGCCCTGTATGATGACCTGTGCAGGGAGAGGGACAGGGGGAGTGCATCTCTGTTGGTTCTCCTGGACCTCTCAGCGGCTTTCGATACCATCGACCATGGTATCCTTCTGGATAGGCTAGTGGGATTGGGAATAGGAGGCACTGCTTGGCAGTGGTTCTGCTCCTACCTCAACGGCTGATTCCAGAAGGTGGTGCTGGGGGACTTTACTACCTCTGCGCCACTGCAGTTATGCCATGGAGTACCACAGGGGTCTATTCTGTCCCCCTTGCTCTTCAACATCAACATGAAACCGCTGGGAGAGGTCATCCAGAGATATGGGCTGCGGAATCATCAGTATGCTGATGATACCCAGCTCTACCTCTCTTTTTCAACCAATCCAGGTGAGGCAGTGGCTTTGCTAAACCGGTGCCTGGCCGAGGTAATGGGCTGGATGAGGGCCAATAAAGTGAAGCTCAATCCAGACAAGACGGAGGTCCTGCTGGTAGGTGGTTCGAACTCCTGGGTAGGTGACTTGGATCTTTTCTTGTCTTGTAGGTGACGCATGCATTGGTTACTTCCCAGTTGGATTTCTGTAACGCGCTCTATGTGGGGCTGCCCTTGAAGACAGTCCGGATACTTCAGATGGTGCAAAATAGAGCAGCCAGGTTGCTGACAAGGACTGGGCATTATTCTCATATAACCCCAGTCCTCTACCAGCTTCACTGGCTTCCCATCGAAGTCCTGGCTGAATTCAAGGTGTTGGTAATTACTTGTAAAGCTCTTAACAGCTTGGGACCCAGATATCTGAAGGAACGCCTGTGGCCATATTTGCCCTCCCACCCCTTGAGATCGGCAGCAGGGGCTCTCCTCCAGAAGCCCTGCATAAGAGATATCAGGAAGCAAAGTACCCGGAGGAGGGCTTTCTCTGCGGTGGCGCCCCATCTGTGGAATGCGCTCCCCAGAGAGGTCTGCCTGGCGCCGTCGTTATTCGTTTTTCGGCACCAGGCCAAGACCTTTTTATTCAAACAGTATTCTAATAATCTTTAATATTTATAGTTTTAATTGTGCAGCCAGTGTGTTTCCAAGTTTTAATTGTAATTGTATTGTTTTATTGTTGATGTGAGCCATCCCAAGGCTACGTAGCAATGGGGACGGCATATAAAAACATTAAATAAATAAATAATAAGTACCTGAGAAACCCAGTAGAAGGACTACCAATGGCTGGCACCTTTTTGCAAAAAATGCATACAAGCGGCATAGTTCGTATTATTCATTTTAGCTGCACTTGTGCAACCGTAGGTATTTGCTGCTGTGCAACTACAGGGCGACTGCTGCCTAGGTACAGCAGGTATGAACTTTCAACACTATTTCCAGGAAGCTTTGGGTTTCCTTTAACAGCGGTCAAAAAGCAAGCTGTCAAAAGAAGCCAAAGGTGTGAGTGATTTTTACTTGTGAAACCCCTAGAATAGCCCATGGATTCTTTGTGTGACTTTTTCCTCTTTTTTAAGCTAAACCATCATGAGTAAACCTAGGCTGGGTTTGGATGACACAGCAACAAGCTATAGCTCAGTGTCCATGGTAGGTTCTCATATTGTGTAAACCAGGCAACTTCCTATGTTTTACCCCATTACTGATAGGATTATGACCCAACATTTTTAAATGGGCCGGTGAATGGCAGAGTATTGCTACAGGAAAAGTGACACATGTCAAGTTATTTCTACTGCCGCCACTTAAGGGCTATATCAGTACTTGAATATTACAACAGAGAACAGTTTATCTTTCACAGAACTTATTCAGAGCTCTTCAACAGCATTACAAGAGCTGTATGAGATGGGCGATTGCTTCTCATATTAGCAGTGACAGGCACTATCAAAATGATGCCCGTGACAGTAACTCACAGTGGCTTATATTCCATAGTGCTTCACTAGTGAAATGAAACCAAGCTAGCAAAAAACAAGTTTCAAACCATATGCAAGGGAAGAAACCGATCTGAGCTCCACTTGTACCCTTCTAAGTAATGGTATGCTTCGCTGAGGGATTGTGTAGTTTGAGTGCTGTGGAGGAGGGAGCAGGATTTTCCACAACAGAGATGGAATTTGAAGAGAAAAAAATCCACGGGGGTTCACATGTATTATTTTGTGTTAACTGCAAGAAGCACTGGCTCCCCCTCTACTCCCACGGAGTTCTCCTATAGTCCAGCAAAAAGGAAGGGAAACCTGCTATCTTTTCTCCCTAGCCCTCTGTGAATTGCTGAACACACAGGGAAGAGAGGGATGCTTCCCCGGCCCTCAGGCTAGATGCAAATGGGCCACCGCTGCTCCTACAGAATCCCAGTGGGAAAAACAAGGGAAAAACATCTCTCCCACTATTGCCAAGGTTATTTGCCGTTCACCAAACCCAAGAGCAGGATTTGTGCAATTATCACGTGGGATTGGAGGAAGGTGGATCAGGCATCACTGCTACGCAGGACAACAGAACCCTGAACTTCTATGCAAAAAAGATGCTGCTATACAAAACCCGAAATCAGCTGCAAAAAGCAGGATGGCTTAACCCAGATGCACATGATGCCTGCTTGGTCTTTGTGGGCTGAAGCTCCTACACATCTAATTCTTTCTCAGAAGCTCTTAAGTCGCCGGAACCATTACTCTATTACTCACTCTGCACAGCAACTGTTACTAATAGCCTTCACAGAATAGACACTGAACTCTGACCCAAACCAGCTGTTCAAGCTTTCCACAATTTAGCACTGTAGTCACTAAATGAGCATGCATCCCTTCAAATGAAGCAACAAGGTCTTTCCCCCTCTGCAGGCAGGGCGGGCGAAGGGAGGTGGAGAGCTCTCTTCATAACCATCCTATACAAGTGAAGACATAACAGCATCCAGGGCACTGAATGCTGTTAATGAAGCTTCAGTAGGCACCGTCTTCATGTATTTATTTAACGGACCTAACATGTTTCATTTCATTATACAGCCTCATTAAAATGCTGAGCTTACAGCTCATTTTAACCAGCTGTCACTTGCAATATTTTACTTGAGCAGCACTAAGAGTATCTGCGTGACAGTTCTGCTCCTGCAAAAAAGGGAGCTGCCACTTACACTGCAGTGCTTGAGAACTGATGCCACTGCTGCTTTGAATTTTTGCATCAGTGCTTAGGAAAAATCCTCAGTACAGCCATCGAGACAAATGTGTCTGGACCCCCACGGAGCAAGGCAGGAGCTGAAGCAAAAATGCGGCAGGCAGGCAGAACATGAGGCACCACCAAATCACTCCACTCCACTCTGCTCACCCACCTTCAAAGCTGTGTTTTAATTTGAAAGGGAGCTCTGCTATGCACATTTCCACACAATGAGAATATCAGCCTTCAGACAGCTTCTGAGTGGGGTACTTGACCTCAATATTAAGGTCTAGGCATGCTCCTTGTGACAAGTAGCTGCACTGGAAGTCAGTGAAGCGCAGGCAACTATCATCTGAGAAAGCAAGCCAGAAACCTGGGCACAGAGAAAAGGCAAGCTTTTAAAAAAAGCAGCCAGCAACCATTACCAGTTAAGCAGATTTGTTAAACTCATGCCATTAACGTGTCCATGCCTATTAAATTCCTCTCAATTACTGAACTAGATCATTACAGTGCTGCCTATGAAATGAAGAAATCCTCATGTTAGAGGGAAGAGCATTCCAGTAGCAAGACGCAGACAGTTTCCAGCAAAGCAGACAGAAAATGCACAAATGTTCTGAGACTCACTGGACATAAGAGGGTAGAAAAGTGGACCATCTTTTCCATTATATATGTAATTTGATTGTACTGAATCAGCCTGCCGAAAGCAGCAGAGCCTAGATTCTTTTGCAGTATCCTGCAAGAATTTGAATCCATTATTAGACGCTCCTGTGAATTTGCCCAGAATTTACCTGCTGCAACTCTGTATGATTTATAGCTCAAGATTTTCCTCCTTTGCCATAAGTCTCTAAAGGGAAGAAGTTATTATGCTGCATTCTCTACATGGGAAATAACAGGATCATTCCATCAAATCTGACACAGAGATGCAGCAGAGTTTTCCTCCTACTGAAAGAGGAGGCTGCCTGCTGCATCTCTGCCTGAGTCATAGCTCCGGCCTTGTTTGCTCCTATTTCAAAGGCCCAGAGCAGCACTTTGTGCAGAAGATGCAGGTTGTGATCTTCTCTGAGGGAGCTCCATTTTTACTCAAACTCATTCTAAGACTAAACTTTGTTGTCTCAAGGAAAGAATAATCTCTCCAACATTAGGTCAGAAAATGCCCAGCGTGGCTGAATTACCAAGAGCCTAGGAAATATCAGGCTGCAGAGCACCAAACTCAACCCCTCTTCCATTTTGAACATGTAATTCCCACCCAGCCCAATGGGAAACTTGAGATCCCTCCCAATTCTGTTCATCTACTTTACCTAGATGTGGGGAGATGGGAGTCATAGCCCAGCCACAGCTAAGGATCACAGGTTCCCCACCCTGCCCTACCTTCCTCTCATCTCATAAATAAGTATTTATCTAGCAGGCCCAGATCAGACTTAAAATCCCAGTGTGAATAAGCATCATTATGGATGGCTTGGATAAGGGGATGTGTAGAGAAGGTGAAGAAAGTTAGTTACATAAAGCACAGTGAACAAGGAAAGGCGGAAATAAAGGAGACAGCAACACTTTGGGCAAGCCACATCACCTTTCTGCATCTCAGCTTTTCCACTCGCTCCCAGCCAGTTAGCAAGCCAGAACCCCTACTGCACTCTGGGATCCTCAGAGGCAGGGTGCTAGGTACATGCAAAGAAAGGAAGAGAACAGCAGCATTCCAAAAGCAGAAGGAAGACAGAGTCTAAAAACTGTTCCAGCACTTTTAAATCAAAGCAGCATACACCACACAAAACAGATACACAAATCCTGACCACAGCCATCACTCAAGAATCCAAGCATCCTACTTCCTTCAAAACAAGATCAATGTTCATTCAAACAACCTGCCTAGGTAAATCAGACTGGCAAATCAATAAGCAGAGTGAGCAGGAAAAGACCACTTTACAGGAAAGGGGACCTACCACATGACTGTTAGAGCTGCCCTGTTTGGACACAGCTGCTTGGTATTTCGCAAGCCTATCTTTGATTGATGTTTCCGATAAGCGAGGGATCTCCTGGTTCCTCTTGTTCTCTGGGTTGGATGTTGGAGAGGAGCAGATCAGATGCCCTAGAAGGAGGCATACAATTGTTGTTATTGATGAAGACTGCAGAGGATAGCAGTCAAACCCTGAGAGTGACCACACGAATGAAAGATACTGCAAAAGAACATCACTGGCAGAATGATTATAGCTCAAGGACTGGACAACATCCATGATAACAGGTTACTCCTCTGATAACTTAAGAACCTTCTCTGGTAACTTAAGGCCAAACTGAATGCAATGGGTTCAGACCTAGATATCAGGAATAGATTGATGGCTAAATCCTAGGATGGGACTTTCAGAAATGCAGCATGGGGAACTTGACCCATTTTGCAGCTCATGGTTTTATCCCTAAAACAACTGAGAGGAAAAAAATGCTGCAGTTACTTCTGATCTCAGAGACCCATCAAAAAAGAAAGAAAGAAAGAAAGAAAGAAAGAAAGAAAGAAAGAAAGAAAGAAAACAAATCTAAAATAAGTGATTTTTAGGCAAAATTCCAGGAAGCAAAATGATTCAGCTTTTCCCATACATACTGCCCTCAAATCACCTCAATTTTATACAATTTGATGCAACTTAGGTTGGATTCTACCACTGTTGGATTCCCTTTTAGTTGCACTGTTATTTCACACTATGAAGTTTACAGCTGATGCATAACAATCTCACATCCTCTCTGTACTTACCATAGTAAGATTTCTTCTTTTTATCAATTTGGTTTGCACCAGGGAGTAAAAGCTAACAACATTTATTTACAGTAATAACACCTACAATAATAGGTAAGTTGAATGGGAACTTAACTAATGTTATTTACAGCCTTACATTAACCTAAGGCTTGCATGGCTACCGATACAATACAACCCTCAGTAATCTGGGACTTGGAAATGGGTAAAGAGCATTGGCTTGGGGGGAGAAGTTTTATTTTATTATATTTTTTATTTATATTGCGATTTATATCCTGCCTTTTTCCTACAAAGGGCTCAAGGCAGCTTACATGATCTCTCCTCCTCCATCGTATCCCCACAACAACAACCCTGTGAGGTAGGTTGGGCTGAGAGTCTGTGACTGGCCCAAAGTCACCCAGTTGGCTCCATGGCTGAGCGGGGACTCGAACCCAGATCCTCTGAGTCCCAGTCCCATGCTCTTAACCACTGCACCACACTGGCTCTCAATGCAAGTTGAGAAGTTGATGCAAGTAATGCAGAAGGAGCATGTCCTTCCACGTATTAGGAAAAACAGACATTAGCAAGGATATCACTGACCAGTAGGGAACAAACAGTTAGGACTAAGAACCAGAAACCAATGATGAAGTCCCAGATTTAGATCTCTCCTCTGCCTTGGCCTTAGATGAGTGACTTTTTCTCAGCATCAGCATCTCCAACTACAGAATGGGGGAACAACACCACTGACTTTGCCTACAAGGTTATTACAAGGATTACAATTAAATTCTGTGTGTGATTTTGAATAGCTCAAAGTGCTGCACTGGTTATATGGTTCGTTATTACTTTTAAAAGACTTAATAAGCTCCTGCATAATTAGCAGTTGTTTTTTCTCCACTCTTTTGTGCATATATGGGAATCATGCCATCCAAGTGAGCTGGATGCAATACAGAGCAGCAGCACCTGTGGAATGCATGCACGCGAGCATCCCCATTACATGATCCCTCTGGATTTCTTGTCTACTCCTAGGACCACTTCAGGGCTTTCAGCTGATGCTCCCCTACAGCACATACCGTATATCCTAACCTTAAAAGCAAACATATTGCCCTCGCACATTACAAAGGAAATCATGCATTTTTACTGTACGAGCATGTAGCTGACACTTGTGCTTTGGCGACTGCATACTATGCAATAATGAGACACACTTGCAATGCGGTTGTTGAATATCAAGGTTTGATAGAAGATAGCAGTCTTTCATATGATGGATGTTTTGTTTAATTTCTATACCACCCAATAGCCAAAGCTCTCCAGGCAGTTCACAACAATTTAACAATATTCTGCATGCCATGTAATAAACAGATTCCATCCTAGCGCTGGAGGTAAAAATACCAGTTTTAAATAAATTCTTACCTGAGGCATTATGGCTTTTTTCTCCAAAATTGATGTCAAGCTCCTCTGAAGAAAAGCTATTCTCTGAGATTCTGCTACCACCAACAGCCCTTCCCTGCTCACGAAGAACCTGTTTTAAAGAGGAAGAAGCCCATGTATATATTTGACGCAGAGAAATTATTCAAAGATGAAATTATACTTATAAGCTCAAAAATGTTCAGTAAAGGAGGCTTGCTGACATCTTCTTTAAAGAAATTACCATGTCTTATATTGCCAGAATAGCCCTGCCTCTATCCTTCACTCATCCCTTGTTTTGTACCCTTGAGCTGCCGGAAGAACTCCAAGCTTTCTTAAGCACGGTCCCCTTTCATTCTTCCATGCTGTCTGCCATGGACAAGACTCTGCCCGTCCCCCACAGCCTCCCTACTTCTTGTTTCAAATGCAGACACCAAAGCTCATTAATCATTTGGCTTAACCCTTCAGCCCTACCCCATCTGAAACAAAGTCCACATTACTTAACTGTGCACTTCCTAAATCAATGGAAGCAGCAAGGTAAGGCTGCATTAAAAATATAATTCTGGAATATTCATTGAACAGAAAATAGGAAAAAATAAGATGGGGTACTTAACCAAAATTCACACATTTTGGCCATATGCATTTTTTTTAAAGTTGCAGATAGTTAGAAGGCAGATCAATTCAAACTTTGTTTAAAAACAGAAGCTTGTGAAATGAAACCTAAAAGTTGCTCAAGTTTCTTATGGGCAACATCACTCTTCTCCTCCTCCCCTTTCCGTAACTCTCAACTTGCTGTCAGGAGACAGGAATTCATTTTGGCAAGCATTTTCCCCAAAGACTTGACCTAAAATTCTGTTGACAAACTCTTATGTTAAGTTCCAGGAAATCACAGCACTGTAAAGGAGCAGGAGTCATGGTTTTTAGCATTGTCATTACATTAAAAGAATTCTGAGTGTAATTACTTTGGGTCCTGGACAGAGCCTCTGAAGGAAGACCTATTATATGCCCTGCTTGCAGAAGCCATATCCCAAACTCCTAGGTAGTGGACAGCTCTTGCAGGAAGTTTAGAACAGAAAGATCAACACATCATTGAGAGAGAGAATGTGAGAGAGAGTTGTCAGCCTGCAGATGATTAAAGCAGCTGAAAAATCTTAGTTTAAGTACTAAAGTGATAATTGCTGCAAAAAGTAGAAAAGATAGATAAATAGTGGGAGCTCCAGCTCTGACTAAACTCATCTGAGTGAGCTGAATGCTCAGAGAGCCAAACTAGATGTGAAACGGTGTTTCATCTGCCTTCTACTCCTTTCTTTTGTTAACGAAAGCAACTACAATAGAAAGGTATTGGAGAGAACTAGAAGAGTTCTTAGGAGTGCCTGCTTAACCCTTTCCTGCTATTTTATTGCTGGAAGCTTAAACCTGGTAAACCAAGAAGGGAAAAGAAACACACAATGTGTGTCACATCCAGGTTGGCCTCCAAGTGGTTGCATTTTGTTTTGTTTCGCCACACTGCCATCCCAAGTAATAGTCCGCTTGGTTTCCTCTCTAACACCAGAGGCTAACGGGGTGCACCATGAAAGCTGCTTTCAGCTTCCCAAGTGAGCAGGCTTGTACATATAAAAAATGAAGGAAGTCTCCTGATTAACTAATAGTACAAGCTGGTAAGGTAGCTCAGCCCACACTGAAGCTACCTAGTCTTTCAAGAGAAATGAAGTGGCGAAAGAGAAGGGCAAGGAAACAGCAAAGAAAAGGGCAACCCTTTTTTTCCTTTAGCAAAGCTCTTTGCACCTTCTACAGCAATATGACAGAATTTCAGCAGGTACAATGCTCTCCCATTGCTCCAGCTCAAGCCCTGGAAAGTTGCTGATACTGATTCATATGTTTCACACAACTTTAAAGAGCACAGGACCAATCTGTGCTCCAGAAACAAAACAATCTTTGAGCCAGACCATCCATTTGGGGTTGAATCTGAGTTATCACAAGCGTGCCTTCCTTTAGAGAGGACCTCCCTGGTTGCATGGATGGATTTTGTTTACAAGGCTAAAATGGTTACCAAAACAATCCTCTCTTTACAGCAATGAATCACTTTAACCAACCCTCAAGGCATTAGACGCTTTATCCTCTAAGAGTTCAAGATGGCCATTTCACATGTTCCAAGCAATCAGAATTACAGATACTACTTAATGTACTTTAAATAATTGTAGCTGTAACTAATGGGCCAGATCTCTTTAATGAGTATTGCATGTTAAAGTAGTAAAGACATTCATCAAAGATTATGTGGCTCCCAGAGAATAATGGGGGAACATAATTAAGAGCATTCTACTCCAGAACTGGCCTCAGTGGCTTAGAGCTCATTAGCTACAGTGGGATGGAAGGGGTGACTACAAGCTCAGCCACTGGCCACATCCTTTGAGTAACTTCAATGAATTACACCGGGTGGCTGGCAAGACAACAGTCCTACGAATTCAGGTTTGGCATAATAAAGTGGAAACAAACCTTCCTGAATATATTTACACCAGCTGCACAAGTCCAATCTATAGGAAGCAGGATTTCCCTGGATTGCAGGGAAAGCTGTATGAGGCGAGATTGAGGAACTGGGTCTTTTCAGCCTGGAGAAGAGGAGCCTCCAAGGGGATCTGTTGGTAACATATAGGTGTGTGTGTGTGGGGGGGTCACACGGAGGTGGGTAGAGACTTGTTCTCCCCTGCAGAGGAGGGCAGGACACATTACAATGGAGCAAGGCTCAGGGAACCAAGGTTCGGTTTGGATGCCAGGAAGTACTTCCTGACAGGACTCCGAGGGTATGGAATGGGCTTCCACAGGTGGTGGTTGAAGCCCCATTGGTGAGGGTGTTCAAGGATAGGCTAGACATGCGAGCAAAGCCGGCAGGAGCCAGGGGTCAGACTAGATGACTTGGGAGACCCCTTCTGACTTGCTCTGCTTCTATCCTTTTGGTGGAATTGTCCTAGTGTCCTAGCAAACACCAGGTGCTGGGAAACACAAGCAGGTTGGTGCTATATTGATCATCTCCTGCTTATGTGCTTCTCATTGGCAGCCTGTTGCCCACTGTGCAAACAGAATGCTGGACTAGATGCACCTCGGTTTCATCCAACTTGTCTCTTCCTATGTTCACTTGTTACAGATTTGCTTCATACAGCTAACATGTAAATCAGTTTAAGCAATTAGCCTGAACTCCATTAATTAACTCCCACTTTAGGTTAATTTGACCAACTGGAAACAACTGGCTCTTGCTTGTTTTTAAAGAGAGAAATAAATCAAGAGACTGAAAGCAGTCTGAATACTGCATATCAAGAATCCTTCCCCCTCACCTATCAAACCTTTTCCCTGACTCCCAACACTCAGCAGCTCTGAGCACACAGGGCTACAGAATCCTTAGGAAGCCTTCTAGTCACTTCAAGATCTCCAGCACCTCGTTTTATATTCTCAGCAATGATCCACTTTCATTTTATTAGCTTGAAGGCCTCATAGAGTCGGTCTCTTAAAAGAACAAACATTCTTCAGAATCTCCTACATCATCCCTGAAGATCAGCGCATTCCTTGTCTGAAGGAAGCCAAAATTTCTGCCAATTCTGCCAATTGGATTTCTGCCAATTCGCAAAGCAATAGGGATACAGTCCTCTCTAGCATTAGTGACTATCCCCATGCTCTGTCTGAGGAACGGTATTTTTTTGTGTTATGTGGGTGAGAACACTCCCATGCATATGCCTTAACAGAATCTGGTTTCCTCTAAGCAGACTATGTTAGACAGTGGCCTGTCTGTGTGTTTGGTAAGCCACCCCAGAGAGCCTTTTTGGTTAAAGGAGAGGAATATAAATCAAATAAAATAAATAACTCTTTCTAGCTGTGCTGTCTAAGAATAGCTAGTTTAATCCCCAGAATTAAAAGAATGATAGCACATCCCAAAAGCCGTACACTCATACAAGTGCATTAGGGAACTGCAAAAAGAAAAGAGAGAGAGAAAAAAATCAATAAACTATAATGATGTGCAAGGACCGATAATATTCCCTTGAAATCAACTGGCAGTGACATAGCAAAATGTAAAAAGACAGTAAGGTGTTAAAAACAAACAAACAAACAAACAAACAAACAAACAAACAAGAGATTGTACCCTACCTACTAGTTCTGTTCAGAGTTTTATGGGCCTGAATTACGATATAGGATACTATTTGAGTAATAATTAAAATTGGATGAGAAACTGAAGAAATAGCAGTAAGCAGCACAGTAGCATAATTATGCTTCCTTTCCAACACAAATGCTCTATAATATAGATAACATGAAGTGGAAGTCATGTAATAATTTGGTGAATGGCCAATACTGGAGAAATGAGGTGTTTGAGAATGCATTAAACCAAAATGTTATGAAGTACACACTGTCAGAACTTGTTTTTGCTAAATAATTAGCCCTGCCTCAAGCAAATATATTTTTCAGTAATCATCTCTGCAAGGAGAGACCACACAGTTAATGCTCTCAAACTAGGCCTTTGAAAAAAACAACACTAACATATCACAGGGATGAGGGAAGAGTATAGTTTACCCCATCTTCCATTTCTATCTTGAATAGTCAGTGGAAATAATAGTTCTTTGAAATCTAAAAATACTGGATCCAGAGATGTCTTGATGAGCAAAAGAGCATTTACAGAAGGCGGGCCCCACCAAATCCTCCTAATTTCTCCATCTCACTGCCCATGACACCATTCCAGAGAGTTCTTCACAGCTCAAGAACAGCTTTTGGGGGGACAGGGGAGAAGGGACCCTTCACATGAGCACAGTTTCACTAGCCAATCTCTAGATCCAACCCATTACGATTTAAGCAGTAAACTTACCAGCAGAATACCATGAAGGTATACTACCAGCATCCAATGAACAACCTGGGTCTGAAATGTGTGCATTTTTAATCTGTTATCAATTTATTGAATTAGGCCAAGCAACAGCACCAGTTTTGAAAACAAACAGTTCTATGTTTGCACTATTCTAAAAGTTGAAGCCAAAGTGTTTTATACTTGACCAATAAAAGTGATGCCCAATAAAATTTTAAACCTCTTAGATAATCCCAATCTGCAAATTGTTTGAAGTTACTTTCTAGAACGTAACAACCTTGCCTGAATCTTGCACTTGTGCCTACTGCAATGCCAAGCAAAAGGTTTTTCTTAAAATCTATTTCAAGTGATCTCCCAAATCCAACACTTGAATTTACTGGGAAGAATTAGAACTGCCAGGTTCAATTCCTGCTGTTTCCAGTGAAAAGGAAACTGAAACAACAAGTAGCCAAGACCATGGTCTAAAACCCACTACATGCCAAAATGACAATACAGGACTCAGTAGACAAAGTTTGGGATTACAACAAATAAAGGAAGAGCTGGAAGACCAGTGTCCCTGACTATGACATAAGAAACTTCCATCCTGTATGCCAAAGCTGGTCTGGAGCAATTCCACACCAGAACTGCCTACTTCTTCTGCAGACCTGTCCTGCTTGCTTCTGTGTTTACTTAAAATCAGTATAACCCATACATTGGTTCCCTCTATTCTTCCTTTGGGCCCCACCTGCAGACCGAGTATGGTCTCCAAGACATTCCTTTGTCAGACTGGAATTCAGCTCTTGGATTGAAAAAGTTTGGATTGAATTGAAAAAGACAGCTAGACATCTGTCCTCAGTGATGCTATCGGTGATGCTATCACCTGCTTCCAAGCTCAGTAAACCAGAGGTCAGCCCGCCCAAATATATAGGGAGCTGCATGAGTGCCCTGGCACCCCCTGAAGCTTTGGGTTTTGCATGCTGGACATCACTCATATATGGTCAGACATTACCGGCTGCACTAAATAATTGAGAGCCGCATTGTCCACTAGATTCCAGATTCTGTTCAGCAAAACTCTTTCAACAAAGCAAGCTCTGCACATGCCATAACATAACTTAGGCCCAGCAGAACTTATTACAAACCTTTGTATGAAGTTGCAAAATAGTCAGCAAGAAGGCGAGGAAAAGGGACCTGAAACACTTAGCTTGTTGAGGGGTGGGGAGCTTATTGTTGTTCCAATCATTTCCTACTTGACTAGTATGGCATAATACTCTGCCCCTCCCTGATCTTAAATGACTATTCAAATCTGACATTTTCTAAGGATCAGATAATTTATAATAGCTTTAGTTAAACAAAAAGCACTTCCTGTGCTTTTCATGGGAGAAACTGGGATGAGAGTAAATATGCACTCAAGAAGGAAGAGAGGCCGTTGCTCACAATCTATGCTCTTCTCTTCACCGCCACTCTCTCTAGAATCATTGTGGCAGCTCACACCACCCAACTTTTTTCAGGACTCTTCCTACACAAACACCCTTTTTCAGGAGGAAACTGATCACAAGGGTGAAAGGAGTCCTCGGTGGGCCAGATTATGTTGCAATGAGTTCTCAAAGAGGTTTGGCACATTCAGCACAATACAGGTCTTTTTTTTTTTTGGCTTCCTGGAATCAGCAATGGGCAACATCTGCATAAAGTGTTTCAGTGCTTTTTCAGGTGACTCATCATTATTCTTTCATAGCCCCAGTGTCCACAACGCCTAGGAAAAGATCCACACAGTCACGCCCTGCTACTTCCCCAGCGAGCTCATTTTCAGAACTGACAGAACAGCTCAGTCAGCATATTAGAATCTTTCAATCAAGATAAGACAAACTCTTTCTGAGAGAAAGCAAATTTAAATAACAATTTTATGATATTAAGCTTGACTTGGAAGCTCCCATGCACATAGATATTAAATACTTTTGGTCTCTAAGTTGTATCTGTTCATGTTATTGCATATACTCAGCAAACTACAAGGGACTAAAATGAAGGAAATTCTGAAAGAGCTGGAAAAAGTAAACCAGTCTGTGTTTTTAAGTCACTGCCATATGAAACTCATTTTCTAGTTACGCAATTTTCCCTGGGGACACAGTCTGCAGTCCACATGCAGGATCAAATTTCATGAGCAGTTGTAGGAAAATGCAAGGCCTATGAATTTGCAAGTCAAAACTAGTGAAGGCAGGAGCTTTCAGACTATCTTCACACATTTTTTCCTGTGAGAAAACTGAGCAGCAGGCAAGCAGCATTTTCCAAGACGCACACAGAGAAGGACAGACAGCAAACAATTCAACACCATTTGTTCTCTAGATTCTTCTTCAGTTATATCAGACTCAAAGTGAATTCAATAGTTTTGCTATAATAGTAAATAGGCATACACACACATTATTCTTTTCAAATATTATAGCATGTGCTGGTTGCAGCTATTTGGGGGCATGATTGGAACTGATATACCAGCAACCAACTTAACTTTTGCAAAGTTACTTTCCTGATCCAGTAGAATTAGTGACATCTAGGAAAATCACATTCTCCAGCACACACTTATCTCTCATGGGCATGAGCTATTAGCATTGGCCATGAGATACATTTTATAACAGGAAGAGTAAGTTCACTTGTGCTATTGGAAATTCAGAGTCAACCCTTGATAGGATTTCCCTCCCACCTACAACAGTGAAGAAGACCTAAAGCAATCAATTCCTTACCTTTGTCTGGGTTACATCCCCCCTCTCAAACATCATCTTTAGCCTGCTCAGAGGAACACTAGATTTTTCTATTTTCCCTGAAGAATCTGGGCTTTCACTGGTCTCAGGTTTTCCTACTTCTTGTCTGGGTTCTCTAAGACAATTTTCCATTTTCCCACTCTTGGGTGAATGGCTTTTATCCTCTTCGCTGTCAATACTGGGATATCTGAACTGGCCAATCCCTCCGGAAGAAGAACGAAGTCGTGATCTGATACCAATCCCGGAGGTTTTGTCAATTTCTGCTAGGGGAGCAGAGCAGCTGCTTTCAGTTCCACCACCGGGGCTGACAGTCTTCTGCCTAACCTCAGCACAGCTGCTTTGCAGTGTTTCCTTCCGAGTCTCCGTTCCCAGTGCCGGGTTCTCCCACTTCTTCCTCAGGACACTGAGGGTCCCCCTTTTAAAATGAGGGGGAAGATTGTCTGTGTTCTAAAAATAAAAAAATGAGGAAGTTAACACCAGTTATGAAAACTGCCCAATAAAGCCATGGAGTGCCGCCTCTTTGGAAGAAAGGAAGTTAAAAATGCTCACCCCGATCTCGAGCACTCTACTGCTTCAGACAGCTGTGAACAGTTACAACTATGCCACATGGCGAAAGCTTGGATCCAGGGTAAAAAGGGGGGTGTGGGTGGGAAGGAGCTGAAGCAGGAAGTGATAAAACAGGATGGCCTTATATGGAACAAAGGGAGCCAGCCTAATCAGGGAGTCAGGACCCAGCCTTTTGGTTTCAGCATTCCACACAAAGGAAACATGGGAACAAAATTCAAGCAGCCTCAAGAATGGGTAGAAAAGCCATATAAGATGGCTATTGCCAAATGCTGCAACGCTTCCCATCTGTTTCCCCGGACAAGGAAGGGGTCCAATTAGCAGGCTGTTTAAGAAACCCGGGATTATCTTTCAGAGAACAACTCGCCACTTTGACAGGTATCTTTATAAGCACTTGAGCATCTGCTGGTAGCATTTCAATAATGGCCTTCCTCAACATACTAGTCAGAAATTAAGTTTGTTTTCTTCCATTTATCAGATTTGACCCTGTCCCTGCAAAAAGGTCTGCTTGGATTATTAATTAAAATCATTAAATCCATGTTTGTTTTACAGAACTCATGGTAATATATGAAAGCACTGACACACACCTTAGCAACATATCCCAGCTGAGTTACACGCCTTTTTACTTATTTAACAACAAGAAACCCACCACAGACACTTTTTCTAAACAAGCTATTCAAGAAATTCAGACAGGATACCTGCCAGTGCTGCATCTTGTAGTCTGCTCCTGTTACCAAGCATGAGACTATCTGCAAAGTGGAACATGTCCATAAAGCTCTGGAGTATTAAACAGGATTAAGCAGCTATATTGGGATTTAAGTCGCTCACCCTATTACTCTTCTGGCCACATTTTGAATACTGCTTTACAAATTAGCAAGAATCCCAAATCAGCTTCAGGAATATTAGTTCTCTTGCTTAGTTTCAAGCTGGCTCAGATTTGCTGTGGGGGGAATGATGCAATGAGATCAGAAGGGTCAGAAAGGTACGTAGAAGGGGGGAAGTAAGCGGTGTACAAAGAAGAAACACTTTGGTAGCACGATCCCAGGTGCTCTGTTGAAATATGGAGGTTTGGCATGCACAGCACACCATGAGTCATCCCGCCCTGGAACTCTGCTCTGCAGTCGCTGCTCAAAGCCCTGTGAGGGCAAGCTCAGTTGCCTCAGCTCAGACGACTTGTCCGGCTCAGTTTGCCCGCACGCTGCAGGCTCACCAGGCGTGAGCACGGCTGCCTCACATTCCAGAGTGGGAGCAGAGTGGGCACTTTTACATGTAGTGGTTCAAACAGGAGACAGCTAAGGCTTCCTAAAGAAGTGGAGTTTGGTCATGGTTTGATCCCGTTTGATTGAAGTTAAACAGCATTTTCCAAGCCTGTCCAACTCATAATCTCTCCCAGTACACAGACGTTCTCACTTCAGGTGTCAACAGAAGCATTGACAAGGAGAAACTGCGAAAACCATGCCTCCTCATCCCACCTCTAATGCTTCAACAAGGAAAACATGAATTAAAGGCCATTATCAGAATCTTAATCAGCTATACAGTTAAACTCAGGGCTATTCCCTACATTGTGTTGCCTTCAAGGTCACAAACCCAGATTATCACAAACCCCAGATCTCACTTCACAGGAGCAGTAGAGGAATGCGGGCAACCCTGCCCTGCCTCCATTCCCACTGTTGACTAAGGGTGGGTGGGTGAGTCAAGCCTTTAGCCTCAGCCACAGGGAAAGGAGTTCCTTTCCCCCTCTTTCCTTCTCCTCTAGAGCATCTGTCTCTGAGTAGGGAGAGCTTCTTCATCTGCCATTTATATGGGGCTTCTCAGCCATCTTCATTTCCTGTCTCACTTCCATCTCTGCATGAGCAGCCTTCTCCAGTGGGGCCATCACCCCATCCCCCGTCCCTCCCATCGCCACCTTTTTTGTGCTCATCCCCTACCTCTCTTCCATAAATCCAAATTCTGCATCTGGAGTGGAGTAGGGTAGGGATGCTCCTCAAAGCAGCACATTTGCATTTCAGCATAACATTGACTGGGAAAAGCAATTCCCACCAATGAACAGAACGCAAGAGCCAGGCTGGATCAGACCAAGGATTTATTCAGACCCATGTGCCATTCACAGAGTAGCCTACCAGCTGGCCACCGGACCCCACAAGCAGAACAGGTGTGCAAGAGCTCCCCCCGCCCATGTTCCCCAGCAACAGGTGTACAACAGTATGAATAATTGAGGCAATGCAGGGGAGTGGAGTGTGTGGGGAGCACAGGGCGGGGGAAGAGGCAGAAGATGGTTGGTTCTGCTTAGAAAGGTACCTGCAGTGGATGTGTGGAGAAAGACCGAAGCGGGAACACTACCCTTATCTTATGAATGGACAGTCAACTAGTTTTTAACTAGTTATGAGAAAACAGAAGCATTCCAAATGCTGATTTAGTATTCTAATATAAAGAAAACAAAGAAAATTCCAGCACATTGGAAGTTTGTGATTTACAGAAATGCATTTGTGGAACTCATCCTAACCCACCTAAAGAATCTGGCCAAAAGTAGGTATTTGCCTGTATCATTCCTATGTGTACAGAACTGCTCTGATCCAGTGGAGTATTTCTGGTGGCACAACAGAGAGGGAACAGTTTTCGTAGCTACCTCTGGAGTTCAGCTCCCTGAAAATCCAGAGAGGTTTCAGGAACATGCCCAAAAGTGCAGGGAGCTGGAGGAAGGAGCTGCAGGGGAAGGGAAACCAGCAGAAATTCTCACCAGCAAAAGCATCTCAAGCATGACTCTGCTCATGTAGTGTTTCTGCTAGCATGAATTAACCTATCATATGACTCAAAATATTCTAGATATTTTTCCTTCGCCCATATGTTCCCACGGAAGAAGCCAGGCGAGCAAATGTAGCACTGGAACAAGGTTGAGTCTTTGTCTCCATGAACAGGATGTTGTTCATCCCTGAATCCTTATTAGGTATCAGAGACATGGCTGCAGGAACAATCTGAATAAGGAACTGATGTTTATAACAGCGCTGACCCTTACAGAAGTACAATGTTCAGACAGGCAGCCATGTTGGTCCACTGAAGTATGAAAAAGGATTTTGTTCACCCTGAAGCCAGGGTGGACAACATGCAACCCCTCCAGCAGTTTCTGCACACCCCCCTTCTCTTGTTGCCTCTACCAATGAACTTGCTACCACAGTGGCAAAAAATACCTGTGAATTTGTAGAAAACAAGGTATTTGGGGAGCAAAAACCTGGTCTGCATGCAGAATCATACTCCCACAAGTGCAATTCTGCCTGGAAGCAAAATAAGCAATTCCCTCAGGCATTATTTTCCTACAATACTATTAGGATTTCTGCTATTGTGGCAAAAACCTCCAGTAATGGTAGGGATGGGTCGCAGTCCCCTGCGGGATCCTTAGTGCGGGATGGCCTCCCACAACCTTCAGAGGTTGCCTACCTCTGCCTTAAAGACTAACAGATTTATTCTTTCACAGATGATAGTCCAGTTCACATGCAAGATAATGCATCTTAGCTGACAAGAGCCTATGCCATAATAAATTAGTTAGACTTTAAGGAACTACAAATTCCAAGATTCCTCACAATTGGATATGCTGATTAGGACTGATGAAAGTTGTAAGCCAAAATATCTGGAAGGATACAAGTTGCCCATCCTGTACTCAAGAGAAAACCTCAAGAAAATCTCAAGAAAGAGATTCTTGAGAATCAAGAATCTAGAGCAGTCTCATTATTCCCTAAGGTATTCTTTAGGGCTTGCTTCCGACCAGGAAGGTAGCTTAAAAATGAACTGGGCATGTGGAAATATGCTACTGACAACATCCATTTACATCTCAAGCTGAAAAAGTGAATGAATTTGAACAGCTGCCTTTACTTCAGACCACAGACAGGGCTATTCATGTTTTGAGGTTAGGACAAAGGGCTTGAGAGCCAGCAGCATTTTGGTTCTGAGAAGCTGATACACTGAGTCAGTGCATGACCTCAGGAAAGTCAGTTGACTTTCTTGTGCTTCATTCAACTCCTGAACAGACAAGAAAGTGGGTCAGAGCAAGGCCCAAGCAGAGCAACCAAACAAAAGCCAGTTTTCCAAAATTATCTCAAGACAGACAGACAGACCGATCACACACAGAATCTCCAGACAGCCACTATAGGAGACAAACTCAGATGTTTGTGCAATTTTGTGGCACTATTCATTCCATAAATATTTAACTACTTACATTTCTTTTTTTCTCTGCAGTTGCTTCCTCAGCTGCCTTCTGATATCTTTATCCGGATAGAGAAGGGATGAAAAAGAAAGAAAGCAAGCTTTATTCCGAAGCTCAGATGTTTCAAATGCACTGCACACAAAGTTTGTAAGACTTTCAAGAAATTGTAAATGTCAAATGACTGACAAGGCTATTTGGAGGGAAAGGAGAGAGTCTGCGTTAGAAAGGAAAAGTGTCTAGACTACAAAATGTAAGTCTGTTACCAACCCCTGACCACCACATACACAAACACTCACCAAAACCTTCTACAAACAAGAATGTCCAAGTGCAACAAGATAAATTAATTGTGGAATGATCTTTTATGGACAAGAGGTGCAAAGTGTTATCTTCTGTTAGTAGCTATAATCTGTCCAAGTACATGGGCAGAGTGTGTGGGAAAGAAAACCTGTAAATCAATCTGGCATAGCTGTTCATGCATTTGCTGAAATTTACCACAAAACATCAGTGCTTTCGGTGTAATGGATTAACATGGTTACTCCTCTGCAAATTGTTCTGAGCCATATAACTAGTTATTTAAAGTTATTTAAAACCTATTAAAACAAGAGACTAGCAATTTGGGGTAAATTGAGCCCCCAGGGTTCTTTGACTGGAAACTATTAAAAGCCCTCAATTCAAAATATCGTTGCTCAGCTTTTACATGTCCGGTTGTTGGCAAGTTCAAACAAATCCAAGGGATACTAACAGTATGAGGAAATGGCTCTTGAGGCTTGGTTAATACACCCATGACTGATAGCTTTTCCCTGCATTTCATAATCAAGCCATCTCTTTAGCATCCTGCCGTTATGCATTGCATTGTGAATTGTCTTGCACACCACTATCTGGTGGTGGTATGCAACACACAACAGGACCCACTGGACTCGCATGTTTCAAAATGGTTTGAGCTCAGGCCCTCCTTTTAAACATGGCACCAGCACTGTGGGGCCCACAGTTCAGACATTCCCTGCATGCAGCCTGCTTGAGAATCTGTAGACTGGGGCACTTCTCCAAGGGCATCTACAAAGAATAAGCATAGGACATGTCTGACCCCCTCCCTTAAACCTCACAGGTAAAGGTCATTGGAATAAAATAGTCTCTCTGAGATCCCTTCTTGCCCCATCAGACTGGGGCGATACACCAAGTTGGAGTGAGAGGCCTAATGTGCAGAAGTGAGAGATCCCCGGGAGGGACGTCCCATTTTCTGGCTGATTTTCAAGGCAGAAAATACCACCAGGTTTGGGACCCTGTTATTTCTCAACACAATATTCCTGTTCTGACAAGACTTCCCATTCACCCCAGAGATGTTGCAGCAGGGATCCACGTGTGGCAGTGGCAATTGGCTTACATGGCTTTAAGAGGCAGGGGGCTCCACCTATCCTCTGTGAATCTGTCTATAGCTGGCTAATGGTAAGGCGGTACTAGAATTTGGTTTGTTCAGAAAGGGTGTTCCTGAACATAAGCAAGAGCATGTTTTCCAGGAAATGGTCACTAATTCCCAAAATTTACAATCATGTTTGAAATGCACACTAAACTGTGCATTTTCACACTTGGGTTAATGGGGGGGGGCGGGGGAAGAGTACAATTTAAAAAACAATACAGAAATATGCATGTCTCATAGGAACAAGCCAAAAAACATGTCAAAGACCAAAATGGCAGTAAGCCAAAATGAGATTCCAAGTAATATGAATACATAGTCAAAATGTTTGAATATGTTGACTTAATGTTGTTGATTTCAGAATGCGTTGTTTTTATCTTGTGAGTCACACAGGGTGCCCAGATATAGGCTATTGCAGCAGCATATAAATTCATTAAATACTGTAAATTAAATGATTTTCAGATAATTTAGGTGAGCTTGAACAATCACTGGTTTTCCCACTGTTAGCCACTAGCCATGATGGTTACCTGGATCCTCCATATACAAAGGCATTAGGGACACTAAATATCAATTCCAGAAGGAGAACTTCCATGGAGCTTTTATCATTTTAAAAACCTATTTGCTGAGAACTTTCTTTTCAAAATTAGAGCCAAGACAGTATATAAACAACATATAAAACCCACAGATAGATACTATACAGAACAGTAATAATTGAATAATAATTACCAAAGCAGCCCCCAAATCAGTTAAACAACAAAGATAATAATTCAGAAACTGATTCAAGAACAAACAGCAACAGCATAGCATGCAAAAGTACCTGGATGAAAGGGAAAGCAGAGTGCTGAACTGGGTAAACTTTCACTTTGCCCAGTAGCACTGATCCTCAGCTCTCTTTTCATCTCCCACCTTCCCTTTGAGGAACTCAGGAAGGTACACATCAGGGATGCACCGAGCTGAACTGATCTGCTGGGCTACCCAGCAGGCTGCAGAACATCAGCAGGTGAGGTTTTGCCCCAAAGAGCCCCTCCTCACCCCCAGCCTCATCCACCCCACACATTTTCCCTGTTGCTGTGTCTCTCTCACTGTACAGAAGAGGACTTGGCCAGTACACAGTGGACTGGCTCCTCCACATTCCAGCAGAGCCAGGTGCTCCCTTCAAGCAACACATAAAGGACCACTCAGCTAGTTCCTCTTATTTTAACTGGACTTGGACTGGACTGGACTGCCCTTCAAACAGAGGATTGTCCTCAATAAAGCAGGACACACAGCCACACTAGGCCACTAAGATTTTTTTTTTTTTTAAGAAGCATCAATACGTTTGAAGAACCCCAGTGACTGCAGAACTATATAACACTTCAGGGGGAAAACCCCAAGGTGGCAAGTCCTTGGACCTGTAACCTTGTTTTAAATATTGCTATTTTTGTCTCTTTACCATCTTGAGCTTCCTTTGAAGAACATAGGTGGGATATAAGCTTTTAACACAGAGGAAGAAAAATACCTAATAAGGCTGGAAGTGTCTAAAGTTTTTGCTGAGTCCTCTTTCTGAAACCTCCCAGAGACACACCTTTCTGTTTCTGGCTTTCTATAGTTTCACCTGCAATAAGTCTCCTTCTTTGCTGCTGAGCATGGAAGCAGAATCTCTCATGAGGCTGTTTACCTTCCTAACTACAGTACTGAGGATCTCTGGGGCTAAGGTAGTTGTACACATAGTGCTATTAGGAGAAGCATCTCCACACAAGGCCTTTGCACAGAGTACCTTTCTGAAGCAGTCAGGTGTTTAAAATATTCATAGTAGCAAGCTTCTCATGCCCCACATTGAATGCTTCCACATGCAGTCAGTTTAAATTTCTGTCAGCTGAGGTAGCACTGCCATGTTGATACTAGCTAAGATTGCTGAAAGCTGAGGTTATGACAGCCAGCTCCTTTTGATTCCTTTTCTTTTCAGACAACTCAGACTAAGCTTCTTGCTCTTAGGAATCCAGCAAAAGCATTTCCTGAAATCACTTAAGGTAGAGGAATTGGCAAGCACCACTGTTCTTTCCCTTGGTTACCACAGAGTTTTGTTTTCCTAGTTTAACAAAAACATGGCAAGGTTCCCCAATGCTCTGCCCTTTCTTCTCTGTAAAGGAACACAGCTCAGATACCAGAAGACATAGTCCAGGGATCACAGAAAATCACGGTTTACTTGCCTCTGGATAAATGCAATATGTGAACTAACAAATCATAATTGCAGGCACTGTTCCACCTCCACAGTACCGCACCACAGAAACAGGAGGGCAGAGCTGACAGAAAACCCCAAGCAGACAATGTGGTCTAAACCATGGGCTACCTAAACATTTGGAACTCAGACTCATGGTTTGGGTTCTAACTTATAGTAGTGGCAAACAATAGTTGGGTGGGATGTCCGAACTGAGCCAGAATGCACTTTCAGATGGCAAAATATGTTCTCCCCAGGACCATCAGAGTGGGAAGCATGTACAGTTGCTGGAGAGATCCTTAAAGATAGTGCATTCGCCACCACCAAATCTTACCCATTGGTGCAAGAAATAATGTTCACTCTGTTCTCCTAAGTGGAGGCACCAACAGTTGTTTGTTTCCTACAGCATACCTAAGTTGCTTTCTCTCTTAAAAGTTTATTAGGGACCTTGCCATTTTAACTTTCTTGTACACATGCCAAGATAAGGCTGTTTGCCATCAGCTATGCTGGATTATCCCCTATTGACTGGCTGACACTGCAGCAGCCTCCAGGTGTGTATACATGTACGCATGCGTGTGCACACACACACTTCCTCTTCCCCCAGTTCCAAAGAACTGCCATGAAGCACGTATTTAACCAGGAAGTGTTTACTGGCAGATTTGGCTCATCTAAACCAAGGATCTATTTGGACACCGAGATAGTGTGATTTAGAAGTGGGCCAAACATTAGCTTCGACTCTCCTGATAGCAAATTGATATTAAAACTGCTTTCTCACCTTCCAAATGTGTGGCCCCAGTACCCAACATCCTCAGATGGCATCAGAGATTACAGAATTCAAGCTTTTGCAGCATGAAGATGATTACTTCATTTTTAAAACAGAGCCATGCAAAGTATGTTCAGCTGTGTGACCAGGGAAAGAATGCCCTAAGAATGGCTGACATTAAAGTGATGCTGAAATTAAGCAGATGTGGATCTGACCTGTCCTTTGGATAGGAGACCACTGAGAGCCTCACAGTGGAATTAACAGTACGGTTCTGATTTTTTTTTGGGAGGGTGGGATGCTTCCATTTTTCAGTACAACTGACTCTGCAGCCTGTCCACAGGACAGTCACCCAGGGTCACTCAGAATTTCCTCTGCCATAATTATTTAACTGGATAGTGCCATTATTTGACATTTCTCTTAAACATGCCATTTATTTATATCAAAAGTTATGCTCGGGTTCCCTGGAACTATCCACTGCTATTTTTACTTCATGTAAGTTTGCTTCTTTATGGATCACTTCCAGGTTAGCTTCTGGAAAGGAATGAGATTTAAAATAGGTTTAAAATAAAAGACCTCTTAAAAACAAACAAACAAACAAACAAAAAAACAAGTATCATCAGCTACTAGTAGCTACTTCCATCCCCGAGGAACACACAATACTCTTTGCTGAGATAGTCAGAGAACTTACTTTGAGAACCTCTCCAAAAGAGCAGATGACTTGTTCCTGTTGACAAGAGACAACTCTTTGGCGGTGATCCTCAGAGAATGTGAGGCCCATTGCCTTCTGTTAAATGGAGATGGCTCCATCTTGGAACAGAAACTAGAAAGGGAGGTAAAAAAAGACTAATTTTACATTCATCTTTTTCACTTTCTCTCTTCCCTAAATAGCCTTCTAAAAATCTCTTCTTCCCAGAAGCTTCAAGGGACAGTATGACTGATACTCTTGATTAGAAATTGTTTTCACACTAAATTCCTGGGAGATGCTTGAAAAAATGCTCAGTTAAAAAGGTTTCTATAGAGCAAATACTCTCTCAACCTATAATCCAGATAACCTGCAAAGCAGAACTCCTTTCACTTAGTAAAATGAATACATGGAGTCTCCTTTCTGGTTCTTCTGCATTCCCACTGCCACCAGCCTAAAAGCTGTGTGGTAGCTATTTTTAAATATAGTCAAGTTGTACATAAATCTATTATATAAACTATGTAAGTAGTAGCAGGTAGACTTCAGGTGTTTCCAGACTGTGCTTGTTCTACACTGGAGGGTCCCCGGGCAAGATACCCTCAATGGGCCCCTCCCTGAGTGCACCAGCCTGCTCACTGCCCTTGTTGACAGTGGACTCGCTCGTGCTGCTGCTCCTCTTTCCCATCACTGCTGCCACTTGCTGGCTCCACAGGCAAGAGGGGAAGCGAGTGAGTGGGCAGTGCAATCTTCTGCTCCTCACCACCACCACTGTGTGGGTCAGAGGCAGGTGAGGAAGAAGTCTTCAGAAAGACTCTCTTCTGGTGGGGGCCAAATGAAAAATGGAAGGAAAAAAATTCTAGTGAGTGGAGCTGCCAGAAGGAACAGTCCAAGCATGGCTCTTTAAGTGCTATGAAACTTGCACTCTTGGGACTGTTACTTTCCACTCTTTTACAGGCATGTGCACTGTTCCAGCTAGCTCCAGCTAGCAGAAATGCCCTGAAATCAGAGACGTTTGACATCTATACCTGCCACTGTGCATCAAGAAAGATTTATTTTTAAACAGAGGAACAAAGGTGAAGAGAAGGAACAATCTGAGAAGGAGTGGCCTCTCCAGAAGTCCCCAACCTTGCCTGCTTTTGATGCTGACCCTGTTTCCAAGATAGAATTTTATGACACTATTGTTCTGTCTCATTCATAAAAGATCCAGATACCATTATCTTCCACTTGGGCCCCTCCCATGTTTTCTTTTTCCTTAAGGAAGAGAGTATATCAAGGAAAGAATACAGAACAGCTGCACAGTGACTTCGGTTTGCTAGTGACTGGGAAACCTCTGTCTGGAAGCACCTTTTGGTTGCAAATGCATTTTCTGGTTACCTTCTAAAACAAATCTGAAATGTATACATGAATAAGACATTGCTGTTATGAAGAGTAAGCAAATGCAGTTCCCATTCAAACAGGGCTTATGGTAGTTTTGTATTGCAAGAGAAAAAAACAAACACAACAAAGATCATGCATCCCAGTTCTAATTCTTCTAAAATGCATCAATAAAGACAGTGAAATAAGTTTGGTTCAGTTCAGTTGTAATTTGACTACACAGTGCTGCCTGCTGCAGACCATGAGTATTATGCTGTATAAAGATTCAAGAACAAAAGTATGTGGAAATTCACGCCTAAGTTCTTCTAAACATACAAAGCCTAAGATTTAGGGCTGAGAAATACTGCTGAGCACCTTTATTCTGTGCACAATCCCCTTATTATGCCAATTCAAAGATCACAAAAATGTGCAAGTTTTTGAGGTCTCCAGAAAGCTTGCACTTTTTTTTGATCTTGGAGAGATCTAGATTTATTATACTATGTGGATTTTGGAATTCTCTTTCCTAGACAATATGCTACCACATTATTTATTTTGCCCATTTTCCCCTTTCATAATTTCCCTCATTTTCTATAGTATTCTTTGTGTCCTGACCTCCCTGAGAGCAGCATTCTAGCCTCACAACAACCTTGAAAAATACACCAAGCCCTCCCAGTCTGTTCCATGGGTAAGCAGGGATCTGAACTGCATTTCCCTATGATCAAGCCCAGCACTAACTACTAAGCGTCTGAGTGTCTTGAGGCAACTGAAAGGTAGAAGAAATATGAGACAGAAGCATCCTTGTCCCAGCAAGTTACTGAGTAGCCACCCCCAGTTACAATTAATTGCATCTACGTCAACCAGCATTGTTCTCTTTCTTCTGGATTCAACATAGCAAGCAAAAGGGCATGACACATACTGCATAAGGCAATACTTTATCTTTCAGGCAAAATCTCCTTTCCCCATCTGATAATTTCAAACACATCAACATACAGCCATAAGCAAGCAATGCTTTAAGTGTCACTAGTGCAGGGATTGGAAGCCTCCGGCTCTCTGGTTGTTCAAAAGTACAACCCCCTTCAGCCTCAGGCACCACGTCCAGAAATCAGGAATTGTCAGTTTTTAGTCTGAAACATCTAGAAGGCACGTGGGTTGCTTACCCCAGTCCTAAATTAGTATTTACCTGAAAAACAAAGTTTCTAATGCCTGGGTTTACCCTAGGTAATTATTTATAAAATGCACCTCAAACCACTGTTAGTACTGAGCTTTTGACCTGACCAAAGGGCATTCTGTGTTCAAACTGCAGTTGATTCCAGCCTGGGGGAGGGAAGGTGCCAGGCATTCTCCCATCTCCACTGAGTTCTGCTCCTGAAGGTTGGGAAGTCTGTGTGTGAGTGGGCAGGGGAATAAATGCAGAAGACAGAAGTGTATTTCTTTTTCAGGTTCAGAAGTGTCTTGAGAACACCCAGGAACATTCTTCTTCAGGAAGGCTTGCTGGTTCTAGGACTTGACTCCACTTAACTTCAGTTTCAGAAACAGACAAGACCACCCGGGATACTGAAGCAAAGTACTGGAACTGATTCTTCTACTTTGTGGCCCAGTCACTCTCCAAAGGTCGCAGAAACATGACCAGAGAACAGACTTTTTATTCTTCTGCATAGCAGAAGCAGCAGTGACAGCTGCAGCAAGGGAAAAGTGCTAAAAAGCAGAAATTGAAGATTCTTGTTATAGAAGCATAAGTTCTCATACATTTGCTTGAGAATCTGTTTTATTAATTTTATTACATGTGAATTCATTTTTATCATTTCTACTTTGTATTAATTCTTGGATGCCACCTTGAGGGGATGCTACCTGTAAATGAGGCCAAAAATAGTTTTAAATTAAGAAAATACATGTGTATGAGGGCTGGAGCAGCACACTGGCAACATAAATTACCTAAATCCCTGGATTCAAATGACAGGACCCCTCTGCCATTAATTCCTTAGGAGGCCTGAGGACAAACTTTGGTGGTGCTGTAGTAGCCACTTCTTCATTCTTCTGTCAGCCTTGCCCTAAGGCAGGCAGGAGTGCCCCAATTTTAACTTCAAAGGCGACACAGGAAGGGCAATATAAAAGCATCCACACCACTTTCTGCTAACACCACTGCTCTGCCTCCTCAGGAACTTTTCTCCCAGTATGGCTGTGTTCTCATATCTGAACACAGCTGGAGAAAAAAGGAGTGTTGTTGTTGGTTTGCAAGAAGATAGATTCCACCCCCAGCAAGGTTCAGCTCCCTTCTCACCTGTATACCTCTCTTGATGCTAAAATTAGACACAGTGCTGTATGTGATACAGGCAGAGATATGGACAGGCATGGCTAGTTTGTCTCAATTCTAAAGTAGAACTCTTTTTTTCCTTCTATTTATCTTCCCGTGTGTTGATATTCTCTCTTAGTTGTCACCTGTACAAATTGGGCTGTAGCTGACCACCTGATTTGGAGATGGCTGCAAACTGATACAGGAACAGAAATCAGAGTCACTGGATTTCAGGGGGCAGATGCTGCTTCTGTACACGAATAACGTGCTGTTGTTCAGTTGTTCAACAAAGCTGTACAGCAGACCTTTGCCTTGTTAAACCTCTAGAACTTTGAAATTATTTCATGCAAGTATTCTCTATTTTACTGTTTAGCTGCCACAGTGCCAGCTGAAGGTAGGTAATGGGAGGGAGGAAAGGAGTGCTCACTGGTGCGCGCGTGCTCGCTCGCGCGCTCGCGCGCTCGCGCTCTCTCTCTCTCTCTCTCTCTCTCTCTCTCTCTCTCTCTCTCTCTCTCAGGCCATCGTTAACATACTTCATGTTCCCAGGGGTGAGTTTGCAGGACAGGCTGCCCTGCACTGAACAGAAACACTCTTGGAGCAGCGAGTTCTTCCTTATTGCCACCTTAGGAAAGCAAAATTGGTTCTCTTTCTACCTAGTAACCAGTTCATGCTGTACCACAGCAGCAGAGAGAGTACAAAGGGCAACTTGACTAGTTCAGTAGAGCTTTCCTGGTATATTTTTCCAAGCAAAGCACAACCACTGTTGTCTGCTCAACACAACAGACATCACATATTGGGCAATACCCAGTGTGGTGCATGTGCTGCAGAAAGCCAGTGTTGGTGTGAAAAGGTAGTGTCTTCTAAAGCAACCAGAAATTAGCTGAACTGCTTCGTTGCAGAATGGAATGAAATAGTGGAGGTAGCATAAGAGAGGTTGGCTGAGCCATCCCTTTCTATAAACAAATGTTTGGGCTAATTTCTGCAGTCATACCAGGAAGCACTCCCTCCCTCCTGTGCTGGTGGTGGGTTTTGTTGGCACACTGTACGCAGCAGAGGCACAGTGGCAGGTGGCAGCATTAGATACAGCTCCGAAGCACATTCATATTAAAGGCTGCCACCTCTGAAGATGTTAACATGAATCAAGTTTTAAATAGCATGCATTCCCTGTAATACTTCACTGTAGATACCAAAAATTTTCAAGATGGCAATTTCTTTTTCATTCTTTATTACAGACATGCAGCAGAACCAAAATAGTTTCAAAAAGTGTGCCGTGCCATCTCTGTTCTGCATATCGGTTGGACATAATTATACTTGACTGACTCAAGTTAACAACATAAAGGAATAAAGTTAGTATTAATCAATGATGCGAGACATTTATTGGGTGGTGGTAGCTGCTTTGGAAATCAAACAAAAGCCAGAGGGTCTTTTCCTTGTTGAGATGCACATTCCAATGGTGGATGACTGCAAGCCCAAACCTCAGGAGGGCCACTCCCCT